ATTCGTTTTACCACTGATTAAAGCATACAGCGACTAAAAAAACACTAAGAAATCAGTGATTTGACAGAATATCTATGTAGCTCCCTGAGACTTTCTACTGGGTAAACGACAGCTTTAATTTGGGACTGCTTCTTGGCTTGGACTAGACGAACACCAAACAAATAAAGACTTGCACTGTCCCATTCTTCTTTTGGGCGACCTCTTCGACGCTCCTCTCGGTACACCTTCCCTGTCAACCATCAAAATGCATCTTGTGTCGCAATGACACACTCATAAGTCAGACATGTTAGTCAATCCTCAGCTTCGATGAGACCGATGGATTGTACTTTGCTCTTCTCAGGTTACTTTCGGTCTGAGAGCAGGAACCAGGTTCGTGTATTTCTGTCGACTAGTAATTTCTTTCAGACCAAGACATTGGAATGCTTTCTGCTGCCACCAATGTGGCGTCTCGAGACTTCTCACCGAGCAGGTAAAGACGCTATCTTAGCCTGAATACATGCATTCAAAAGGAAGCAAAATCGTCAGGCGAATAACAGGATAATCGCCAGACATTAAGTGATTACATAAGCAGAGGAAATGAGAGGACGCATTGTGGAAGGGCTAGCTTTAATGATAAAACTAGATTATGTCCTTTAATTCAACACAGCCTTAATCCTTGGCTGTGGCAGGTCAAGCACCCAACTTTCGATACCGACGACGGAGTTGACAAGTCCTTCTTCCTTCCTTCAATTTAGGTTGCCATTTGTTTCGATTATTAAGGAGAGAACTTAACGACTGTCAAGGGTGGTAACTTAAGCTTAATGTTGGTTCTTGGAATGCATCAAACCAACTTAATTTCTCATGCATGAATTCGCCATGTTTAGTCGTCTCTCTTTAAGACTGGTGGAAGATATGGCATGCAGACTTCTCTTGTAGTCTCAACTTCACTTCTTTACCAGTACATTGACATCATCATTGATGAACTCTGACAACTTAAATTAAAAATAAAAACTCAAATCAGAGCTACGTTAACCAAAATTGAGTTATTTACTGCCAAATCCGAGTGACTGTAATCCATTCGGTAAAGACAAGCGGTCGACCGCCGTGCATTCAACAAGTTGACTGGCTCCGGTTTTTCCTCATACAAAATACCGATTCTGGTGAATTGTCTTGTCTTCCATTTAAAGCGACGCTAGCCTCCTTTCTGCATGGAATGAATAAATTTTGAAATCGACATTCATCGTTGACAACTGGTTATCAACTCCCTCAAATAGAGCAACCACAGGGTTTCTCAATCGTACTGTCAGTTGAGTAAAAGTGGTCCACTTCTTTACTCATGTAAGATTGACTAGACAGAACAAAATAGCATGGAAGAGAGGAGGCGTCACAATCTTCCCTACCTCCTATAAATCCACTTAAAGACTGTCATTTTTGACGTCTGACAATGACCGACACACTTCCACTTCGCGTATTAAAGGCAACTCCAAATCAACTTGGATTGACGATTATAACGTCTAGCTTGTAGATATTTTCCAACTCCCATGTTTGCATTGTGGTACCTGTTGGTTAACGTTTGTTGTTTGTTGAGTTCACTCACTTGTTAACGCAGTCTTTCAGTGAGTAAAGTGACGTCTAGGTCAAGGTCAACCTTTTCTTTGCCCCACTGCTGCTTCTGAGCTCTACGGGGGCTGGCAAACATTCGTGTCTCAATCAACTGTGAAACATGCGACGATCTCACAGAAAAGGAATTTCAACATGCACAAAAATTAATTACACAAACAATGAAGGAGCAAAAAAAAAGGTTGAATGACGACTGAGGCAGTTGGGATTAGCAAAACAACACGACAACTTTCTGCAGGAAGAAAAAATGAAATCAAAGGAATGTAAAATGAGATTATTCTTAAATAAATGGCTTTTATTTCTGCAACATTGACAAATGTCATGCTACTTTGAGGTTGACATGGACCAGGAATGACGCGCCACAATTTTTGACCCTTAAAGAGTCAAAATTCAACGCGGTTTTAATTTAATGTTTGCCAACAAACATGCGATAAAATTCAAACCGAAGGGACAATATCTAAAGGAGTACTTGTAAAAAATGTTTTGATCTCCACTTAGTGGAAATAGTTAGTCGACAAACTGGCTGGGAGGTTATTTGAAGCCATTGAAGTCGACTGCATTGCGGTGGTTGATTAACTCGCACGTCAACTCCAAGTGGCAGGGGTGTGGCTGGGACCGGCGACGGATGTGAAAACAACGTGGTGAGGAGAAGCGAAAGTAAAACAAGCACACACTGTCCTTTGCTCATCGCCCTGTCTCTAATCCACCTTTCATGGTGGATGGAAATGCAGTTCAAATGTACTTCCAAGTGGTCTAGCAGTTCCATAGAAGTTTGGTGATTGATGCAATTATCAAGTGGGTGTCTGCAAACACCGCTGATTGCCTCGTGAAGGAGAAAGGTGGGAGGGTGAGCATTAAAATGTGGAGCAGGTGTGAAGCAATTTGTTTTTTGCTTGTGTGTGGCCCCAAGCCCTATTGCCCACCGAATGTGTAGGCACTTCCTCTCCACTATTGTGCCTTCCGGACAAGAGCGTTGACTGCTTGAGCGACAGGCACGTGTGTTTTCGTCTCAGTCCTCACCTACTAACAGCCCCTTTTAAATTCAAGAATCATTTTGTATTCAGCATAATGGTTAGGCAAGGCTACGAGGGCAAAGCTGACTCTTAAGCTACTCGCCATAGCACCTGAACAAAGTTGGACTTTAAGTAAACGCTTGAACCTAGTTTGTGGTCACTGACTTCACACAGACTGTTGGCTTTCTGTCAAGGCAGTGCGTATAAAAAGGCACCGACTTGGAAGAGGTGGAATCACAATCTCTTTGTGGGAAGAATCTTTGTACATTAGACAAGTGTTTACTTTACCTGACTGAATGATTTTAATTGGTTTAATTGTGATGACATTATTGTTTAAGTGGGACTTAATTCTGCTTGAAAATTGTGCTATCTTGAGATGAAGTGCTCCCTGCAACATGTCAGCTCTGCTTGCGAAGGGGACAGAAACGAAAATTCTACAAGCAGCCGGGCGAAGAATGAAGTCGGCTTTTGACACACCTCACATCCGTGTTCTGCGTAAAACCAACTGACCACAGAGGCGTCTCATTCGGTAAACCATCTTAAAAGAAGTAGCTACATAAAACTATTCACTTTTCCGATGTAAAGGCGCCATACAATGTGAGTTGTGTGCAATAGCAAGATTTTCGTCCCCAAATCGAGGTTCCAGTGCCAACGAATAACCTAAAAAGAGTTGACGACTTTGTGGTCTATTGTTTAAAAATTTGGTAACCGACAAGAGTACTCGCTGATTACGTCAACAGCTGATGCGAAAATTTGACCAACAGGAAAAGCCAAAGACCACATGCGAAAGAGGGGATGAGCTATGCAGTGCATTTGTTGTCTGTTCGCTTTTGCCCTTTGATTGAACCCTCACAATTGATGATCCTGCCTTCGATGGGTGAAGCGACTAGTTGGCTTCGATTATATGCCATTAAAACCTATTTGTTCTTTGCCACATCGCCATGTACCGCCATAAGTTACATTTTTAAAATCCAGCAAAGGAAAGAATATCTAATATCTATCTAATATCCTGTATTCAGACGGATTAGGGAACACTTGGTTTCCAAGTGTAATGCTTTGCTTATGTGACTACCTGACGTTTGGCGGTCACTCTAGAATTTGTCTGGCCCCCGTACACGTGAGCTGGCCTTTGGGCCACGCTCATGCCCATTTGGCCTGTCGTCTTCGAAATACATGTATTCGACCCCACTTATGCCTTCTTTCACCCTATGGGAAGCCTCGGAACACTACATTAAGCTACCTTAATTCCTTGATTGTTTTAATCCTTCAGTAACAAGCCTTTCAGTGCCTTATTTACGAGGTGGTCTTCCTTGAAGCCGCACTTGGGTACATAGGCTTGAAGGAGTGGATGCTAGCAAGCGCTATGAAGAGTTGAATGACCACACTTGCGCCAAGGATACTTTGGCAGCGAATGAAGAGCCCAAGTAGTCAGCACACTAATTTGCTTGTTTGCTCTGCTGGGTAAACTGGTCTACAGGCGAGACCAAAACCCCATCTTAAATTTCATCTAAAAACAGGAATTTAATATATTTGTTATGATTTCTCTTACCTACGAAGAAGTCTCGGAACGGCACAACAAATGCATGATTTAACAAATACCATTTTATTTCACAATTTTCACAATCCTATATCCATAGGCACAAGGTTTGGTGCCCATAATCTAATCAAATTTTTACGGTTTCTACAATCCTCTTTATGACACAATCGCCCAGAATTCGAAAAAAAGTGCGTGCGATTTGCAAAACTATATGGCCAATGAAGCATTTGGCGTGATTGAGCATGGCAATAAAGTTAGGGCACCAGATTTCATAAACCCTAACCCCAAAAATACCTCTAAGTCTGAAGAGGAGCTTGAAGTTAATCCGAAGCTTGGCTTAAGGCTCCTGAAATTTGGTCTTGCTATACCGCAGGCTGAGGTGCTAAACTTAGTCATTGTAATGCTTGGTTTATGTGACTACTGGGCGTTTGGAGGTCACATTAGAATTTGTCTGATCCCCGTACAGGAGGGATGGCCTTCGGGCCGCGGTTAGGCCCCATTTAATTTTTCGTTAATGTTAACAGATGGCATAAAGACGGCATAATTTTAAATCAAAATTATGTATAATCCATGTGGGGCTCTTCATTTTTAAGAAGTCGTTGACCAGCTGAGCCATAAATTCGGCAAGAACCAAGGACCATGCCTCGCAAACAAAATTCATATGATTAGTTAAAGCTCTTTGGCATCACCGAATTCACAAAATAAGTCCGTTTTTAATGATAAAGCTTTAAAATTTGGGTTTTTTTGGGAAAAATTGGTTTAAATTCTCTTTCGGTTATTGGCGAATAAATGAAGTTTTAAACGGCGTTTTCTATTTCGCGCCTGTTAACTGCTGGCCTAGACCGTCGAGGATGGCGATGGAAGTTACGTCAAAAATAGTTAGGAAACTGGACAAGATGATAAAAAACGAACTCATTGTAACATAATGTTTCTCATTTATTCTGTTAGGATGATGAGTTGGCGCTGTCTTATTTGCATCGTCTTCAAGATACTGGTATGACATTGGACATCTTGACAAAAACAGGAGTTGGAATTGTCATAAACAAAATTCGGAAACAATCTTCCAATGGGGAGATCACTACTCTTGGAAAACAGCTTATTAAGCAATGGAAGAAACTGGTCCCTGGTAGGTATTGAATCTGTTTTGCACAGTACTGTCATTTGCCTCAATCGTCAAGCGATATGTACGGTGGAATTTGCTTCTCGGGTCCGTTCTCTAAATACTGGGTTTAATTAGATGAACGGATTGAAGTTTGGTTTTGACTTGTGTGCGCTTGTGAAGATACATGAAAATCGACATCTATTTCATGGCCTAATCACTGGCATCAGTTTAATCTATCGACCTAGGAACAGCAACCTGAGATGTGGTTTTAGAGTAACATATATTTGCAGTTGCCAATTATCATTGTCTCACTTGCACTGGTGGGTTCCGTATTTCGCGTTGTATAGCGCATTGTCGTTGTGCAAATCAGCCGATGGGGCTGGCCTCACTCTGGCGTTGCTTAGATTTCTCTTTCTCTTTTGCTCAGAGAAGACCTCTGAGACTGGGGGTAAGCGTTCGCCGCCAATGTCAGGAGACGACTCATCTCAGTATCTGCCTACCGAGGGGAAGAGGGTTCGTCGACCTCCAACAGATGATGAGGACACCCGAAATGAGTCCGATGCAGTCATTCATCACCCGCCCGCCTCTAATGATTCTAGCGGCCATGGATTTTTTATGTCTAAGTCCCTTGACACAGACGACCCGGTACGACTGAAGGCTAGGGAAATGATTAAGAGTGCGCTAGACGCTAGTCGTGAGTTGCTTCGTACATTCACATTTTTATCCTTGAAATAGCTCTTCATCTTGGTAGAAGAACTACTTGTCTTGACTCGCAGTATTATCTTTCAGTTATTAGCGCTTTTTGTGCCTCTGAGCCACTGCTAAAGGCTATATTTGCCACTTTGCTCTTCATTAATTTCCATTCTCTGTCAACATAAAAGTGGTCGCATTTAAAGTGGTGCACAGTTTTGTAAGGTTCTCCTTAACTTCCGTTGGTGGAAACAGCTGATCAGGTCATAATAAGTCGTTTGGAGCTGGTGTTCTATCGTTGTCTCTGTCGGTATCGTCTTCGAATATCTACTTTGATCTTCCACTTTGATATATTGATCTTGACTCTGGCTTAAGTTTAATTAGTCTTACAAACAGTTGGATTCGCGGTAAAGTGCGTGTGTGCTAACGGCTTTAAGCATATTCTAACCGTGTGACCGACAAACTTTTGTCAGTCTCGGTGTGGTTATAAGACTCTGACATCAATTACTAATGCGGGAAGCTCGTTTTTATGGGAGGAATTTTTTATACATTTTTTCTAAACTTGTCTCAATGGCCCTTATATCTGCTCCCTTTTGAACCATCAGGTTGAGTGCTAAAAGTACATCATGGATTTATCGTTTGAATAATTATCCTTTTTCTTGTGTTCGAAGCTCGAGTTTACTTGTTAAGTTCAAAGTCATTGACCAAGTTGTTATGCGGATGTGTTCATATTTTTGCTGTCAGCTTTCGGTCACGGATGCAATTTAGTCGACAAAGAAGCATTTCTGTATCATCCTTTGTTTACAAAGTAAGAGCATTTGTTTTTGAAGGCTCTCTGCATTGAGTCTAACTTATTTGAGTGATTTACACATAAACATTTTCAATTGGGTCTCTATTTTTCCGTAAGCTCCACCACCGGGCGCCTTTGACGCCGACTACTTGGCAACTCGAATTGAGAGTGCTATTTTCACAATTTTCGGCGTCACTGATCCAAAGTACAAACATCGCGTGCGGACGCGGGTAATGAACTTGCGGGATATCAATAACCCCGATTTGCGAATAAATGTCTTCATGGGGCACGTTCGACCCGAGCGCCTAGCCAATATGACGTCTGAGGTGGGTTACCCCTCTTCACGTCATTCTGTTTTCTTTCTGTTGGCAAAATTGTCAACTTTCTCCCCCACACTGTAGGAGATGGCTAGTAAAGATATGAAAGAGTTACGAAGCAAGTATAGTAAAGAGACCATAGATGACCACCAGATGGCTGTGACTGGTGGCACGGAGTCCGACCTCCTTAAATGCGGCAAGTGTAAGCAGAACAAATGCACCTACAATCAGGTTGGTATTTTTTTCGTTAACGTTCATCTGTCCTATTCTTTGTGCTATTCTAAAAGCATTTTGATCCAGCTCCCACCCTACTGCCTTTTTTCAATTCGCGTTCTAGGTTCAAACTAGAAGCGCCGATGAACCCATGACCACATTCGTTTATTGCAATAACTGTGGACATCGGTGGAAGGTAAGCTGGTTGACTATTAAATGAAGTACTGCAGGGCAGCTACGAACGTTTTACCGAGCAGTTTGGGTTAATGTCGTTTTTTTCACTTTTTAGTTCTGCTAATTTCATGGAAATCGTCATACTTGATGCCGTGTGCTGCATATACAAGGACGAATCGGTTTTCAGGCATGGACGCGTATTCTTCTAATGTATTAATACTATTTTTAGTGTTTCTGGTTACATAGTTCACACAATGCCTATTAGTGAGGTATTTCATAATAAAGTGGTGTAAAATAAAATCCACTGTCGGGTTTCTCTCTTAGTTGGATTTTTGATGGCTGAACGATGGGTCTGTCGGTACGTACAAGCAAGGTGTCGGGGGGTTGGCGTGGTAGATTGTTGGATTTAGGGCATAGCAGGTGGGCTAAAACTCTTGGGGTACACAAATTAGAGGAAGAGAGGGGCGGTGGCCTCATAGCTTGAGACGAATTGAGGTGGGCTTGTGAAATTGCCATTGTTTTCACCAGAGCTGTTACTACTTTGGCGTGTCCATTTCTTCATATAGACCGAAATGACAGTTGCGTGCTTGACACGGCTTTGCCAAATGAAATGTTTTAGTGTCTTAAAATTAGCCCTTTACGGGGTTAGGTTGCCTTGGACGATGTCCATGACCCTTAATGCTTTCGCGTTTAGAAGAGCGTAATACTTTGTTCATTCGACTATCCGCATCCCCAGAGGTTACCTTCGTGGTCATCAGGCTTTTGCTGGGTAGCCGGCATTTGCGCCACGCCAAAGCTCCTCATTTTCCACTTCACTCTGAGTGCAGGTATTTAGTCATACCTAATGCTTCTGGATATCAAATGGAAAGTCTCGTGGCATTGCAAGCATGCTCACAGGGGTCTTATCGCCACAGTAGACATTTTCGAAGCAATAACCGACGTCAAACAAAATCATCTAAGTCCATATAAGGTGCACAACCACTTTTAATATTCTAGCAAACAAGCGAAATAAAAGCAATTGCTTAAGTAGGTCGGTGTTAGTAATTTTTCAAAATATGTTACAGAATTTTCGTCTGTCAGTTAATGCACTAAGTGCAACACAACCTTATACGCATCCCTCAGTTTAGCTTTGTCAGACAGCATCTTTTTGATTGCAATTCGAAATGAGTGTAGGTCAAAAAATTCTGAGATTGGCATTTGATTTTGATTGGTTGGTGTAGCGTTTGGGTCTCTTTAAGCCCTAGCATGAATGTTTAACAAAGGAGGTATGTTCTCTGTTCTCCAACTCCATGTCATATTATCTTGTACTTCCACGAACATATATTCCACGTTCAAATTATCAAATTTTTAGTTTTCCTATGCATTTTGGTTTCTTTTATAGTTTGATAATTAGAACTATACTTCTTACCTATCGAGCCTTTAACCTTCTCCTCGTGGTATACGTTGGTTATAATCATTATCACCCTGCCCTTTATCGCTACGATGCGTTCATACATCGTCGTGTTGAATTCTGATTTGCAAATTTTAGCGTGTCCGTCATTGAGCATCCAACGTCTAGGTTTGGAGTTAAGCCAAGGTAATTTCATGCGCCAGTTTTTTTCTTGTACTTCACTCCATGGAACTACCTTTAAGTACATTTGAAGGCCTACAAAAGTACATTGTGATTTTTTAATAAGTAGCGCGTGATGCGTATGTTTTATTTCCATTTCCAGACCCACTCCGGTCGCTGAATAATTTGCTACATCAATGCTGGTCCGATTTTTCGCAAATTTTTGCAGCCGAAAGTCCATTTGAGGGTGGCACAAAGGAAAACCCTGCAAACAATGAAATTTACGTGCTTTTAACGGACCGTCTTAATGCTCTCGTGGTGCTCAGTCCCCAAGTTTTTCTTCGGCTTGGAAATGCAGCCACCTTGCGGCAGCCAACCCTCATGGCTGTCTACCGTATGTGAGTGCTTCTGAGTTAGTCTGTCTACAGACACAGGCCTTCAAGTGGAGGATGCCTTTTAACGTACTTTACCTATGCATTATTTGGCTTATGATTATGTTTAACATGATCATGTGTGGACATTGGTTTCTTTTTAATCCTAGCTTCAAACATTGCTAATTGTGGTTTTCGAACTCTAATTGCTGTCGCCTCTCACATTGTTGCTGAACGGCCATGGACGGGCTTAGGTGTTGGTGTTGTCATCAGTAGTTTACTGCCTTAAGAACTCATGACCAAGCCACTCATCATCCTACGCCTTTTCAGAAATTTATGATTTGAAGCTTCTCCGACAAGATAGTAAATTTGTTCCGTAGTTATTGTTGATCCATAGTATACTAGGATGTTATTCCGTGTCTTGCGGTGCCTAAACCAGGTTTCGGTTAGACAATGACTGACCTGCAAATGCCATCGGATAAGTTTCCAAAAGAAAAATTTATGCTTTGATGACACTAGTGTCCGCGTTGGTTTTTCTGTAGTTGAGATGCGAATCAACTGTGTACTGGATTTCATTTTAAAAGAACGGAATGTTGAGATCGACCTTTTCTCCTTGGAGGTGCAAATCTAGGTTGGCATGTTAAGTGCAGACCTACTTTTATAGTGCTAATCGAGTATCCAGTGTTTCGACCCAGTGGTGGATTTTTGAATAAACACTTCCTAGTATGTGAAGTTAGTGCATATTTGCAGTCTCCAATTTCATTAGCTGCAAGAATATGTTTGCCACATTCTTAAGACATTTCCTTGTAGACTTTCTTTGGCGCTCTGGTCCTGCCAACGGGCGATCCGCTGCGCAGGTCTGCGCTGCCTGCGCTACTACGTCCGGACTAGTGAGGATGTGGATGTGTTCCTGGCCAATCGCTTGGATCTCTTCATAACCAGGTAGGCTTCGCCTCTCACCTCATTGCTGCTTTTTTGTATGATGTGACCTCTCTCAGTCTTTGTCACTAGAGTTTTGCTGTTTATGTGCTTGCTGGGTTCGCTATTCGCAATTTATGCTAATTGGTAGTTTCGTGACCAGGATGTTGTGGTCCCTCAGAATGTTGTTCCTTATCATATGGGTTCCAAAAGTCGAAGTTGGTCTTCAGTCAATGTTAGCTGTGTAGTGAGGATACTCGTTTTTTGTTCAGGCTGCAAGTTGGTTTTCAAGTAGTCCGTGCCTTCGTGTCATGCCTTTGTAGTGCTTTTGTGTTAAATTTTGTCGTACTTTTTATCACTCTTTCGAGTTAAACGTCTTGGAACTGTTTAACTCAAGAGGCTAGCAGACTCTCCTCGATGTGCTTTGAGAAGATAATCGAGGTTGTGCCTTTTTTTTTTTCAAGACCTTTGTCATTTTACTGAAACTTCGTTCAACTGCTTTGGGGAGCTTGTTGTCTTGATCATATTTTGGAGTATCAGTAATGTCAAATTTTTCACACCTATCTTTTGTCTCAGTGTTGTATATTCCCTCAAAACCAACCGTTTCTCAGTAGGTCTGAAAAGAACATTACAACTGTTCTTCAAGTGCTGCAATTTAAGAGCACGTATGCTTGATTTTAGTGTATCAAAACATTATTGTGAATAATATGCATATGAAAATTCACATCAGTCGTGAAGCAAAAGCTGTTGAGTTTGTGAACTTAGTTCGCTGCTTTTGCTACATACGGTTATGCATTTTGCTTCTTCATGTTTTTAAGGAAACAAATAGAGAAAGGGAGGAATTATATTTTCGTAAGTTAATTGAATTACATCATTTAGATGCCTTGATCTCTCTTACATGGAGGAACTACTATCAATTCTGTCAATCATAAATGGAGACTCATGCAGTGATGAGCGGGCCGAAATGCAACAGGACATACGGCGCCTTGGCGGTCCCTATCAAAGGCTCCTTGACGGCTCTAAGCGCCCCGTTGGAAACATTGGCTTCCAACGACCATTTCATGGTAAGTTGGGAATTGCATCACTTATCAAATCTATCATGATCATTCTGCTAACTTATAATCCTTTTCCAGCTGTTAACTTTATTTGTTCTTTTATTGAATGAAATTTGGGAGTGATTTGGGGGAAACAAGGCTAGCAAACGTCCAGAGGCTCTGAATCCAAAGCAGAGATGAAACTGAATCTCCCCTGACGTCATTCGTTGAAACTGCCTGAGTCTTACAAGAAATTATCTCTATAATAATGCTCAATTGTTGGGACCATATCAAAGCTTTCCTCCTTGTGGCGACCCACTGAGTATGTATTTGACCTTCCTGCATCCTCTTACTCCGCTATTTGGTTCCGGTGGACCACTGTCAAATTCCTTTTTTTCTTTCAACAATTGAGACTAGAGAGAACACGTAGAATGAGGCTACTTTTCGACTTTTGCGCTCATTTCACGAGGTGGATCTAATCCTTTTCAGAAGATAGTTGAAGAACTCATTACTCTCTCCACATTTCGCGTTATCGTAGTTCACATATATACCTGTGCTCATACCGTGCTAGAGCTGCTGGCTTAATGGACAAGTACTTTCATGATGTGTCCATATGGGATCCTTTGCTGTTGCCATTTTAGCATTCTGGGTTTTAAAGCTGACATGATTAAGTTAAGTCGTTATTGATGGACTGCTTCTTCGCGAAAGTGGCCCTGAGGTTGCGTTCTATCGTGTCGATGTTGCTTCTACTGACACTCAATAGCACTCTTTATATGCTCGTCCATTCTCACTTTTACCCTGACGTTTGCGCTGCTTGTATCACGCTCCTTTTATCCCGAAGTTGGCTCTACAACCTTCATTGTTGTGCTCGTTTTGAAAAGAGATTAATCAAATGAAGCTTGCCAAAACCACCCATTGGGATGTTTTTTTCTCAGTTTGATTACTCTCCAAGTCAGTGTTATGGAGTGATACAACTCAGATCCCTGGCCTCAACTTCCTTCTATTCACATGACATAATTGAGTTAACATTGAAGAGATGTGGCGGCTTTCGTCTAGTTTTACTTGGAATTTGTGACAAAGCAGCGTCGTTAATTGGTTGCTTTCAACCCTCTTTAATCTACCGTTTGTACTCACTCAGTCTGGAGTGTGCGGTTTTCATTGAAGCGTTGGTATCGACAATATTCTAGTTAATCTTTGCTCGGAATTATGCTAAGGTGTGGATACAACTCCACCGTTTTACTCAAATAAGCATAATATCTCAGCAAAAGTCCCAATCCTTTATACTTACGCCTCGTTTTTAAGGCTAAGTCAAGTTGTGAAGCCAAAACTTTTCGTCCCAAGGGCTTGACGACATTCAATGTGTTAGTTCCGTTTTCGAAACTTTTTATGTTGAGTATTTGAACTTTTCCTTCCACTATAGGTTTCTCAATGGGTGATATCTCAAGTTTTCCACTGTTAAGTGAATCTTGAAAGGAATAGGGTCATAATTGCTTAAAAAACTAGCATATACGTTTACGGAAACAAAAGTTGAGGTTGAAACGCCAGCACTGTGACCGAGGAACTAAGAATTTGTTCTCTCATAAACCTAGTTGTCATATTCTGTGGTACTGAGACTGAGAATATGAATTTGCAAAGCGTTTAGACAAATTTGAAATTGCTTGTCTCAAAGCTTACAGCTAGGGAATAGCTTGGAAACCTTAGCGCCAACAATCTCCAGTTTGCCTCATGTTCTGTTAGTTATGCAGGAAGGATGGTATGGTGGTATAGAATGCATTCAGTTAACCGCAAAAATCGGTGCACTGCTTGCTAGAAGCACCGCGTACCGCAGCGACGGACACGACGGAACGGTTAGCTGTAATTCGCCTGGCCTTTCATCTCCTCCGACTCTCCGTCCGTGCCTTTTCACCTGACCTTGTTCATGGATTAGCTGCTGCCTCCACCTTGACGCCGGCAGCTGTTGCTCATCCTTCAGAGCTCAATCTCAACAGGGAGGTGGGTGGAGAGGCGCCCCTCCCCTTCTCACACCTTTCCTCTCAAATCAACGCCAACCGGGATGGAGACGTTTGTCTTCGGAGCTACCTTCTCTTACTCACCGAATTCGGTATGAGAAACCTGTCTTACAGTGTACAGCATTTGTGCGGGTCGCAACTCATTCTTTTTCTTGAGAGCCACTAAGCCTTCGTTGGCTGACTTCTGTAGAGGAGGAGTCGATTAATCCTTTCATTTAAATTTGAGACCCACATTGTTCTACTAGATTCATTGAAACTCCTCTCACTCGATTTCTGATTGTGATAAATCAAACCCCGTTTATTATTAGTAGTCTTGGCAATCGAAGGCAACGAAATTCTTATCGATGGAGATTTTTTTGGTGAAATCTGTTTGGATAAATTTTTAGTCCTCTCGAACTTGAAAAGCAGTATTGTTTGGTAGCTTTAGCAGCGACAAGGTTTTCAAGGTGTTTTTATCATTGGTAAATATTTACGTCGTTTAATTCTTGAGTAGACTGTCGGTTATTTTGGTGAATGAATGCTCTGCATCCCATGTCAATGTCAACTTTTCTTGTTAAAGGCTGTAAAAAATGGAATCAGGGGTACTTCTTCTCCAAGGGCAGGTATTTATGCTTGAAATTTGTCTCCTCCCGTTGATCCTTTGGCAAGCTCTCGTCTGTTCCGGAAGTGGGAGTGGGGTTAAATGTTCGTCAAATCACTTAATTTTAATCGTTAATAGTACCAATAACTCTCGGTTGCTCCTTTCTAATCTCCACGTTGTTGAAGTTGATGGTATTTAATCCACGGAACGTGAAGTGATGGATCGGTCTGACTGTATGGCATGCAGCACAGTGTGGCATACTGCATGCAGATCTTATAACTTATGAGACTTTTGATTTTTGTGTTTCTGTGAGTTCACAGGCCGGCTCTAGAGAAATGCACCACATTTCACTGCCTCTCACTTTGCATAGGTCAGAGCTGTATGCATCTTATGTGTTAACTAGCTTGGCTGGCTGGATTCCATGCGATTATGGCATGGATTGGCGTTCGGAGAGGCTTAATGCTTCCTGGTTTTAGACCTAAGTCAGCATTACAAATCGAGTAGATTACAGCAAGGCACAGTAAATGTAGAACACTATGCAAGAAAACGTTAAATACAGCTCTGATACTTCGTTTTTTAATGTTCAAAGTAATGCGAAGCTCTGAAACCCATATGAGGCGCTGTGGCGAAAGGTCGGGTCCTCCGATTTCGGCCGCCCCCTGTTGCTGCCCGCTCGAAGTGGCTGTCAAGTCGTTATTGAGCGCTCTGCCCTGTTGTGGAGAGCCAGGTGAGGTGTACAAACATTCCGCCCAAATCTTTGAAACAATTCTCCTCGCTCTCCTTCGTCTCTCCGCAGAAAGTCAATACGGTCGGCAAGTTGTCGATTCTTGGGTCTTTCAGGTGAAAATTGTTTTAATCTCCATTTTAGTATCAGGGACGTTAACCAAAAAGCACCATTTTATTTGAATACTATCATGTTGATTTCTCTCGAAAAGTTTATGCAATACAGCGTCGCAGCACGTACTTTAATCTACCTCCAAGTAAATCCTTTTAATACCGCATTCATAGATATGAATAAACCTTGCAGTCACGGTGGTCTGACCAACGCAAAACCTTGTTGTTTTCCAACCTTTTGATTCACGAGTCAGCTTAATCAAATGCGTGAATCGCAGCTGTTCGTGTCAACTTTACTAATTTCCGACCATTTACTGTTCACTTCAGGATCTTTTGCTAATCTTTTTTTTCTCAATTTCTCTAATCGTTACGGTATGAATGGATTGGAGGCATTTATCGTTGGGCGGATCCTTCACAGTTCTAAACTCATGCGGAAAGACTTTTAATCTCTATTTAAAGTAAACAGTTGGGGAGAATTTGAGATTTTATTTGTCCCATTAATCTCTGCCACAATCTATAATTATACCCTTTCTCGAGACCCGAGCTTGCGGTGCACTGCACCGTTGCACCTTTCGCTTTTACAATCAAACATTGTAACCAAAGTTGCTTTCTTTTCTAACTCACTTTCATTTCTTTTTGCATGTGACTTCATATTACCACAAAAGCCGTAAGTGCCATCATCAGTGGAATGGGGTGGATGGAGAAGACGAGGGGGGTTGGGGAGCACCTTGTCAAAAGTAACGCGCTAGTAAGGGTCTCACCGCTGGATTTAAACTGTTTAAATTTAACTCTGTTACCACGCTGAGGATCGGGCAAGATCAGTTTGTAAACGAAGGCGATCCTGAGGGTCTCTCACCAGGTTTGATCAGCACCTCGTTTTTTTTATTTTAGTAGCCAACGTTTATCACCTAAGTTTGATCAAACGTATTTTGTCACATACACCCAGTTGTTCCCCACACTTGTTCTCTTTAACTCGATGCATCCTCATTGAAAGCCTAGAAAATTTTTGCCCTTTCTTTCCGGTACTCCAACACAATTTCTGCTTTTTTAGTGCAAACATTTATCCGCTGGCGGAATTGTACGGCTTTGGCATACCCGTGCTTGTATTAAGCATTTATTTGACATTTTTTTGTTCCAGAGACACCTCATCACTCATTTTTTGGTCAAAATTTACGAAGTTGCACTATGTCACACCCTCATCCGTTCGGAACAATTTAAAGCCATTGCGAATCGCTGTCATCGGTATTTAGGCATTTCGCAAGTTCTAGTGCAGTATTTTGCGGGACCCTTACATTCTTTGGCACTTGATCCGGGCGATTTGTCTTCGACATTGACTTTAAGTAATTTTCCACTCACACTACAGAAGTCATCTTATTGCGGTTGCTTTACCCTTTCATATGGATTCATGAAACAACCTCTTCCTTAGCTCTGGACTAATGGGATAAGCTTCGTCCGAGTTATTTCATGTGTCTTGCGAGCGTTTTCCCATGGAAGTAATGAACCTTCTATTCTCTTTCACTTTAGAAATGCGTCTCTCCTTTCCTGGTCACCTACCCCTTAGTCACCATTCCAAGGTCTCCTTATGACTCGTACGTGGCCTTTTTGGTTGTTTATGGGTCATCCTCTCCAATGAATAGGTTTTAATTCATCTTCTTCCTTGTCTTGTCGTAGCGAAACCCTCTTAGGAATGCTGCCTTCTGCATTGCTTAAGTGCCGTCAGGTCAGCTATTGAATGGCAAAATAGTTATTGTTGGTGTGTGTGTGTGTGCGCAAGTGAAGCTAGTGAAGCTTTGAGTCTCACTTCATGAGAAAAATGGCATTCATTTCAGCAATTTGTCTTACAAAATGCTATCTTTCGATGTCTGATCAGCCCAACTAGCTATCTGCGTAAATCAACTGGTAGCTTATTCGTGTCAGCCATCAATTTGAGTGTCTACCAAAATAACGGTTTTTTCCTTATTTTAGGAACCCCTCCTTTGTTGCCGCCACAAGGGATTCTCTTGTATTTGTTCTTCGTTCCTGGTCAGGTAAATATTTATTGCGTCCTTGTGTCTATGACCAACGTCGAGGGCATTCGACTATGCTTTTCGTTGGGTTTTTGGATGGCGTTTACTGCTTACTGGTTCTTTTTCATGCGAATAGGTTTTACGGTTAACTTGTACCCAATGTAGCAGTGCAGGCAGTTCACGTATGGCTAGTAAGTAGTCCTCCATGTGGCCATATAATTGTCTTCGATTGTGGGTCAAATTCCCAATCTCTAGTTGCCGTTTAGTTTTTACCTATTTCATCAATTTGTTTCGCATTTTTTCCCCTTATTCTTGCTACCTTACTATAGGTTTATTTTATTTTCTCCGCGAGGGAAGATCGTGTCTCCATACCCTCACTCAATCTCTTCTTCTTGGTTCTTCAAAACTTCGAGTGAGTGTGTTTTCATTCACCTGTTTACTTAAAGATAACGATTTTCTTCTCTATTGCAACCTCAGTCACCCTGAATATCCACATTCGAACATCGCGAAATCCATTTTGTGGATCATTTAGCTAACTTCTTCGCTGAAACCATTGCCAACACAAGGCAGTGGGATGAAAGAATTTATGGCATTGAAAAGCGTTTCCCACACTGTCTCCATGTATGGCAAACTTGGACGTGGTGTGCTCATTCTTGTTTCGCTCGCTACTCCTTAGGCGCTTGGCTTTCGATCTGTTTTTGTTGCTGTCAGGACTATTAATTCGTGTTTTTATCACCAATTAGATCTGTGTTTTAAGGGCGTTGTATTTTCAAAAGCCAATCTTTTGTCGTCAGTGATCCTTGCTTTACAAAAATCACAAACAGGTTAACGCCACCTGAAATTCTTTTATTTGCTTTACAATGCTCCAGCGCTATCATCGCATTGTTTGCCTTTAATAAAAGACAATTATGCGTTACTGAATCCAAGAATTGAGTGATTATTACGGCAATGTTGATCGTCAGGCAAACTTTAAATAGGAACAAATAAACCTTTCTATTGCATATCACTACTCTAATTTCCATATTCATGGTTTCGGCGTTCACTGCATTTTTTTTCCACTACCTTTTTAGGCTTTGGTGCTCAATGTATTATACAATCTCTTTCCTGGTGTTCCTGCCCCCACCCTCACAAGTCCAGCCGACGATACAGCTAATGCAATAGCTGGTGGTCTTTCCTTGGCCCTTTACACAGCTCTACCCTATCCCCCGGCTTCCCATCATCAAGAGGGAAGGCAACAGCAACAGCAGTCGTCCTTTCCTTACCTGGACGGGGACTTTGTTGTGGAAGAGGGCCTCCGTCTCTTCCCTCTTGTCCAGTCTGCTGGCACGGACATTCTAGAAGCGCATTCTGCTCTCCTCCTATGCTCTTTCGCCCAAGCTGGTCTTTTTGAGGTGGAAATGTGTCTACGTTTATCATATCTACTTGTCATTTGCTAAATATTCGGCTGAGTCGCTTTTGATCGTTCACTCGTTATTTCGTTTAGGTTTTGTAGCTGTTGGTGTAGGCGGTACTGCGTGAGCACTGGCGTTTTGGATGGTGGCTGAGGGGCTTTAAATGACACTGTCACATTATTTCAAATAGCCTTCATTTTTAGTGTCAATCTGTTTGCACTGTTTTAAAGCCATCAATCCATCTTTATGGGGTTGTTCAATGCATCTTAAACTTCCATCTTGTTGATGGCAAGCATATCAGAAGGCACAATTCCGGTTTTTTACTTACTCCTAAGTAAGTAACGCAATGTTTCAGAATGGTCACTCGTTAGTGTGAGCAGGAATTTGGTAAATTGGATGATCGCACGGTGCTCAATCTACGTTGAGCTCATTACCTGTATCCAATGTTTCAGAACAATAACCCCTCCACTTACTTCCTAATCATCACAGGAGTCCTCATTTCCTCAAAGTTATCCGAGTAGTCACATCTTAGGTGATTTGATTTTGACCCAGTGGGCTCTAAAAATGCACCAGTTCTATTTCTAATAATATTTTAATATTTACTTTTGTCTTTAGGGAGATAATATTTGTGCATTGAAACAATCTGTCTGCTTGAGTGTGTGTAATAAGTTAATTATCCTGCTTCTTCTAGGCGTTGATTGCTGCTGTGGATGACACTTCACTTTACGTATCAGCTGCTGCGGGTCAACTTTTGGGCATGCTTTCATTTCGGGTGAGTTTGCTCTAGTGTTAATGTGAATTTCTGCTTGCCTTCCTGTTTTCTCCCTCTTTAAGTAAATTTTATCTTAATTGAATCCAATTCAGGCTAATTCTCAACTCCACCCGGATTCTCTTTGTATGGAGCGTCTAACGAATATTCCTCTCCTGCGAGACAAGTTCCGTGCCGTGGACTTCTTGGACAGGGTTCACCAGATTCTGATGGAGCGTCATCTGGCTGGCACCCGTCCAATTCTCTCTGCGCCACTCATTTCACCCTTCCTGGAGTGTCTCTCCCGACAACAGCGAGCTCCGACCGCCCTTACGCCGCCGTCGATGCAAACTTCTGCCGGTATTAAAGGCACAGACACTGGTGTCTTTTCACCGACACAAAAAACCTCTGTCCTTCAGGTGCTGGAAATTCCCTTTTTTCTTGCGCTCTTTTAATCATTCGTCTTTAACATCATATTTGCAAACATAAAGAATCTTTGTCTTTAGCCGTTTCAGCACTAATTCTATGAAGATTCGTTTGGAATACTTAAGCTCGACTTACATTTACTTCTGGAAAAGTGACAGCATAACATTAGAGTCATGCATCAGGTCTGAAGTATTCCATCGATGAGTCACGACCTACAATTTTGAGCTATGGATCGCACTATTTTCCCAAAGATGCGAAGGAGTGGTGGAATTGCATTTGAATATTCTTCGGTAATGCAGTACTTAGATGTGGTGTCAGTCAGTTTTTGAAGAAAATCTTATAGCAAGCACACCATTTTTTTGTTTAGAAAAGGGGATTGGACTTGCCTAAACAGGTAATCGACAATCTGTTGTAAATCCAAAATCTTTTGTTAGAATTTTCCTTATTTTTCTTTATAAAACATTATTTTTGAATATTCTTAATCCAACTTAGAGGGCGGTTTGCGTTGAGGAAAAGTTGAATGTAGTGAACTAGCTCATGGTTTTCTGTTGTAAAAGTATTATTCCGAAAATCAGACACTCATGAACAGAAAGATGGATCTTATACAAGTCGTCGGAACTGTACCTTATTATCCTAAATTATAAATGCATTACACTTTCAAATTCGGTTTACCTCTGACACCCTTATTATTCTACTTTTATAAGTTCAGTAAAAACGTTTTCTGTTGTCTCTTGCTCAGCCCACGGACAGCCTTCTCGAGGCGGTGATCGCCTCCAGCGGCGTTTGCGCCTCCCCTACAACCAACACCGCTACGGTTCAGCCTCTTAGTGGAGGCCCCTTAACGACCACCTCAACACTGGGTAAGAGTGTCTCCTTCTCCCATTCTTCCGTTCTCGGCACCCCCGGTGCAACTCCCGTTCTCTCCTCTCCTTATGAGTGGGATTGGGGCGTTCTCGCTTCATGGGCCCGCAAACTCTCCTTTGCTCCTGGCCTTTTCTCTTGGAAGGATCAGAAGAGTCAGATGTAAGTATTTTATCTTACATCTATGCATTATTACAACCTTCTTCATTGTGATCACTATATCCCTCCCTCTGCGTGTAACAGCTTCCTGACGCGTCTTATCGACTTCATCACACCTAACCTAGAGGTGCTCTCTTTGTCGTTGGAAGTGGCGTATCCTACCGGGGCGCCGCCACTCTATCCCCTCCTTTCAAAGTCTGTGAACAACCAAGAAGATGCCTTTCCCTTGTCACCGGCATACCTGCGTCTGTTAGGTCGACGGAGTGCTGATGACAGTTCTGCTTTTTCTCCAAACTCAGGTGTCATTCCCAGTCTTCCCTGGACAAGTCGCAATTGGCCTCAGGCTTGGGCTGCCGCTACTCTACTTTCCGGTTTGCTGCCTCATTTATCACTTTATCCGCCCGTGCGTTGTGTGGTGCTTTTCGTACTAATGCAGTCGCCCATGCTATACTTTTTTACCTAAACTTAGGCCTCCTTTGATTTCGTTTGCCTGCGTCGCGTTCTGTAATGACTATAGTGCTTGACATTTTGTGTTTTCTCAGGTCCGATTTACTTTATTAACCGCTGCTACTATCTACTTCACGTTTCGGCTCTCGGTACCATACTTTCAACATCTTGATGCTGGCTTATTTTTTTCTGTCGACACCACTTGACTTGTGGATAAAGTAACGAGTCACAAAAGGCTTTCCTTTTTATTCCAAGGACTTTTGATAACCTCAGTTATCAAATGGCTGACTAATCATCACTAAGGTCGATTACGATGAGGCATTTGCTTTTTTTGTACCCATGATCTCATGCGTTCTATTGAAATGGCTGTTTTTTTTGACACGCCTAAATAGGTAAATTGTTATTTCTAGCTGAATCAACCAACCAGTAACCGACGCTATAGTTTTGCCTAGCAACTGCATTTGACATTCATATTTCTTCATTCTCAGTGATGTCACCTACATCTGAACGATTGAATTCACAGTATTACCTGATTTCTCCATTGAGACGTTACCAGAGTGCTTATGCTTAGGAATGGGGTGATTACAAATTCACGGGGAGACTGGTGATGTACTAAGGAAGGCTGCATTTGCATGACCTTACGGTACCATAATTGTGACTTGAGTTACGGATACCGGAGTGTCGGCGTGGCGGATGATCACAGTGTTATTTCCCGACACTCAGTTTTGACTTGTCAAGTACTACTTGCGGTTGAACAGACGCATCGCCGTCTATCTCTTTTGGTATGTACCTCTCTTGTTTTTTTACCGTGGCATTCCTCGTTACCTTGTCCAACCTTGCCTTGGTGTCGCTTGTTGTTCCATACAGTTCGTCTTTGATGTTGACTTCTGGTTCAGGTGTTTGTGTCGTAAAGGATATGGCAAATCATGATTACTGTTTCATACTCCGGTAAATTATCGTTTCGTGGAGCTTTAACTTTTTAAATTACTATTTTCAGTTACCGATGCATGACGTATCGAGTTTGTTTAGTGATTTATTCAAAGGCTTCTTCAATCCCTGGGGAAAGGAGTTAGCCAAATAAGTATTGCCCTACTTTAGTGCATGAAGGGTGCGTTTATTTCCCCCTCCCGCTCTTGGTGGCAATGTGTCAATCAGCTAGTGCTGCTGGTTTCCGATTCTAGGTTCACTAATACTTGGAGTAATTCTGCCACTTTGGTGCGGTTTAATTTGACTTCTTCGGTGTTGCAGTTACGTTTGTGTTGCGTTGATTTGTCTTTTAGGAAGCCAAATCTCATAACTTTGTTTCAGATATAATTAATCACAACGGTGACATTATTTTACCGCGTTGTTTTTTTTGCTTCATTCATAATTAAGCGTTGTTTTGGAATACTAATTTCTCTTACAATCAAAGCCATTCATTTGTTTTGTGAGTTTTTATTATATGTTTACGGTTTCCACCTACATTTGAGGCTGATCTCTCTCTCGTGATAACGTAGCCTTCTAATTTTTTATGCCAGAACACTACTTCTATTTTCCTTTCGACTTTGATGCAGGACAGCTTCCCGGGTATGCAATTGCGCCGTTTCCTCACTTCCGTGCATACCTGCCTGGCGGCAGCAGCTACACCGAGCGCATCTCCTATGACTTGCACCCACCTGCTCTTTCAACCTAGCCACCTCCGTGAACACTGCTCCTCCCTTCTCCTCTTCGGTCTCGGTCGTCTGTTTTCATGCGAGGCCGGCTCCTCCCTGCTTCACGCCATGGAGATTCCTGATCTTCTCACCCTTATCGTTGGTGGTAGTGCTGGTGGACAGGAGCTGCAGGCTCTGAAGTTCTCAAATGCTCTAAAAAACCTCCGCAAGCAGCGCCTTCTTTGCGCCAAATTTCTCCTCCCCTCGATGACCTACACAGGCAGCGGCTTTGGACGCAGCCTCCTTGTCACTGTCTGCGCCTCGGGTCACACCGCACTGCGTCTCTTTGGCGCTAAATTTATCCGCCTCCTTCTCCGATTCAATATTCCCTCCACGGCGTCTTGGCTTGTCCCCCTATTGCTCAATTTGTCTTGTGATCGGAGTCCAAAGGTGTTTCACGAAGCGATTTCAGTTCTGGAGGCATGTATCAACATAAATCCTTGCTATTTTTTTCTCACCGCTTTAATTTTCATGTTTGCCTTTTTTTTAGGAAGCATGTCTTAACCCGACATATCTCCAGGCCCTACTCGACTACATGCAGACGGGGGATGGGTTTGCCGACAAGCGGTGCTGCGCGGCCTTCCCCAGCCCCCTGTTACGACTTTTGTCCATTGGCAGCCTACCCAGTCAACGCGTTATCGCCTGTCTTCTCGCTAAGTCAGCGTGGATGCTTAAGGTCGTCTCTACCCCGAAACCGGTCGCTTCAATGCCCCCACTCGCAGTATATCCGGGTGGGGGAATCGATGGAACACTATTAGAGGGTATTTTACGTGCATGGATGGAGGTGAGGAGGGAGAAGACTTAGTTACACTGCTGCTCCTTTATTAGTTTTGGAGTATAATACCGTCGGTCAGTAACGTCCTAACGGTGGTAGCTCGGAAAACGAGTTTATCGTACACCATATACTTTCAAAATTATGTCTTTTCTTCTTTTGAATTCTTGGTAGTGAGTTTATTGCCCGCCAAATGTTTTTACAAATTTGGAAAAGTTGCGCGATTCGTTTACAAAAACAAAATAGTCAATGCAAACAAACCGTTAGGTCCTTGCTTTTCTTTGTATAAACGTAAACTAAGGACATTAATTCCGATTTATACCTTGAATAGCAACAGTCTCATCTCAGGCTTCTTTTTTTCCTTTCTTGATTGCAAATAAGTTGTTATGATACGCTGTTATGTTTTCGTTTGTCACTGTTTTGTATTTTCCATACCACCAAAGCTTGATTCTGATTCTTTAATAACTCCTCATTTTAAATCCAATTTACAAGCTGTTACAACGCCTCCATTTAATGTTTTTTTTGGCAAGTCGTAAAAACTTAGCCAGAGTATTATTGTTCTTACAGATATACAACGAGCAATTTGCGGAGAACATTGAGAATCGTCTTATGAATTGCTTTCGTTTGCCGTTTTTGCAAAACTATAATGAATCGGTCACCTCCGACCTTTGTCCGAAATTTCTCCAGCGTTGCCCATCCTGCAACCATCCCCTCGGTAGTGATCAAGAGGTTGACAAAAAAGTTACTGGGGCTGAAGAGGAGATCGAGGAAGAGGATCTCTTCCTCGATCGTCAAAGCAACCGTGTATTCAGTCACTTTGATGAGGTTGCAGGGGTGGAGGTAAAGCTGGGGACCGAGGAGGATGGGAAGGAGAGTGAAGTGACTTTCGATTTTTCACCAGTGGCTGTTCAATTCTTCTATCGTCACAACGGTTCTCTCTTTGTCCCACTACATCTTTTCTACTGCCTGGCGCTTCAAGAGACCGGATTCAGAGTGCTTAGGGACAATGGCTATCTGGCGGTATGTTGACGTCTACATTCACTGCTCAGGTCTTTTTGGTTTTCGAAAAATGTGACCTATTTAAATTCATTTATGGCTTTTTGAAGCGTTCTTTTATTATGTTATCCAGTTCTTCCACTTTCGTGCACTTCTTTTGCCCAGGACTGAATGCTCACTTTTAGATGGACTGTCCACGAACGTTGCGGCATTTTCGTTTAGAATAAACGCGTTTTAAACGCAACTGTGTGAAATATTGTTGATTTTGTAACATTTTGGCAGTGCGTTTAAACGCACAGCTGTCGTATTCATTACGGAATAAGGATGGAGTCGAACCGGCTTTCCTAACTTCTTTTGTAAATAAATATATTTTATGGCGAATTTTATTTTTTTAGACTCTTGCCGATACCCTGTCTCAGAGCTGTCACTCCGTTACTGACAGCGATGGTGGAAGTCGGCAGGACGCGACACACATTAAGGCAGCAATCTGGGCTCTGGTCAGTATCCTCGTCACTCCGTATGGCTCTCGGTGGGTACGGGCTTCATCCGTGCTCCAAGATATCTTTTGGCTCATTGCCAATGCTGATTCGCTTTCTGTTCGTGGGTGAGTTCGGTCCGTTGATTTTCTTACGCATCATTTATGCTATAGCTTGGAGTTTTTGCGACCGAAAATCACCGAGCTGAAATTGTTTTTTGTTGTTATTAGCGTTGGATAGTTGTATAAGAATTTTTTTAAACCTTTTTGTCCAATCGCAATGGCATACAACATTGCATTTTCCCACCCTCAAGTGGCTATTTTGGGAATGCACTGGAGAGCTTTCGTAGCGTCGAATTTCAAAAAGGGAATGCTTTTAATCTTGTCTTATCTTGGTTTGTGGAGGAAATAGGTTTGTGGGGTTGGTACTTTGAGGTTTATTTTGCTGTGACAATTAATCTGACTTGAAGTCATTGGATTGAGGAGACCGCGTTTATCCTCATTGACTTCCTTGAGGTTACCAGGGCACATGGTCGTACATTTTTAAATTGATTCTAAAGCTGTGCTTCTAGATGAACGTTTTTTCCCAATAGCTGATTATCTTTCTTCCAATTTTACATGAGCTCACTTTTTCAAAAACGTGCTGCTTTTCACCACCCTAAATAAACTGAGGGAGGGATGCAGTCTTTATTTCTGGTCATTGAAATATTTTTCATTCTCACACTCTACTTCGGCCTTCATTGAATGTAAGCCTGCTTTCTGCTCTTACTGCTCTGGGTAAATGTCAACTCAGTTGTCACTTCTACACAGTCTTTTCGTAAAAGTCCATTCGATTTCTCCGTTTCTTTATATGACAATGTCATATCGTATCCATGCATAAGTTTGAGGAATCTCGCCGCCGTTCTACTGCCCCTTGAAGATCAACGTTACGTTGAGTGGCCAGCGTCGTTTCACTTTCTAAGTGCCTATTCTGTAGACCAGTGATCAAAACCTGGTGTACTTCTACAATGTTGCGTCATGTGTAAACATTCTAGGAATTGTTTTGTCGCTTTGTCATTTTCACCAAAAAGCTGTTTTAAATTCTCGTTGCTTAAAAATATTGAGTTGTGCATCAGCGATGCTATGGTTCATCCAGTGCCATTGCAAACTGTCATTACTTGATTAGTTAAAGGATCATCTTATTGCTAGATTCTATGATTGTTACTGTTACCTCGATAATGTTTTGATTGGTACAATTTTGCATTGTAAAGACTAGTTTCGGTCCCGATGTTGGGCAATGATACGGCATTTACACATTCTTACATAACAAAACCACCTGGTTGCAGGGCAAATTGGATAGATTTAGACACCTCCTTCATGAGGTGTATGAGAGAGATGAGAACCTCAGCGAGAAGGTCTTAACAGACCTGGTAGAGCAATGGAATATCCGAGCGACCACCACCATTGTCATTTTTGAATATCATTGCTGTTTTAGAGAATAATGACTCCTTCAGAACATGGGTTTTATTGTTGGTCAATCAGTCGTAAAATCTGGGTCAAAAAATGGAATTGGAAACCCAAATTTCATTTAAAAGGGAATATCCATAATATCGAAATAGAAATGTTTGTCTAAATTTGCATAAGTTGCCACCACAGTACGTTTCTGATTCTTAGCATTGTCGTTCAGTTCCTGTAATCAAACGTTTCAAAAGTTAGTGTTATCTGTACCACGTCATAAAGATGATGCCTTAATTCTTATAACCTTCTTTATCCATTTCAGAACTGCCTGGTTAGGAGTGTGTTTTGTATCCTCCTCAGTACATGGAGGCAACCTTTTGCGTCCATGGATGGTTGGAGGCGGAGGGAAAGGCGGAACGAATACAGAGGTGAAGATGATGACCGAGGGCGTTTGGCTGCTGAGCACAACGGACCGTGATGCCCACATGTGGCCCCTACGCGAGCGTCGCGTTCTTCACCTCAATTCACAGGCCTCCGAGAGAGTTGTGGAGGCTTCCTTTGCTTCTCCTACATCTCCATCAATGAACAGGATCTCTTATCCCGGTCATGGAAGGTCTTCTACGTCCTTCAGTGAGTTTTTGCCTTTTCTAGAAAGTCTGTTTGTGGTGTGGTGAAGCAGTCTGATTTGTTTTTTCCTACGTTGACAAAAAAATGTATGATGTTCGGTACGCTGTATCCTATATATTAGAAAGAGTATTGCATAAATTAGAATTCTACTAAGTTTTGGCAGAATTTCGTTCGCGAAACAAGAAAAATTGTATCTTAGGTTTGGTGCCCATTTTTAATGGTCAGAATTTACACTTGAAAATCTCGGTTCATTTGCTGCTCTGACGCCCAATATCTGTTCCGTAGTGAAGAATTGTGCACCACACAAACAAACATTACTCATTGTTTCTTTTGCCTATCAGCAGGTACATATCAACGGAACGCCCACTCAAGCATCTTCTCTTTGGGTTGCTTTTACGATCCTGCGGATTCTAATCTCATAACCGCCCCCACTACTGCTGACACTGTTGTAGCATCAGCAGTCACTGCTTCGCCATCCGTACACTCTCCGTCCTCCGCTTCCATGACAGAGGGCAAGGCGACACGTCCATTGGATCATTTCCTACGTCCAGTGCGGTGGATTGCTCGACGTGCCGTTCATTCATTCCGTGGACAGCGTGGTGGAGGTGGACGTGGCGTCGCTTCAGATCTGTCTACTGATCATCTCAATGGCGATGAATCGGCAACGGTGGCGACGGTTGGGGAGGGTAGGGAGAGGACAGTCTCTGCTACCTCGGCAAACTCCGGTCATGCTGTCGGTGATGGTATCTCCACCATGGTTCAGTCACTCTCTAGCCCCGACTGGTTTCACTCCACGCATACCTCCGATTCTGCCACGTGAGATATTTGCATTTGAACTGTACAAATATTGCGCAACCCACTTCATTCATACTTTTCATCTAAATATGTCTACATTTATGATCCTCCTCACTATTTTTCGCCTTAATCAATCCTGTCTTTGGACGAAATGTAATTAGTCTTTCCAGTTGTTTGTGATTGGATTGTGATTATGGGTGAAAGTTGGTAACCTTAGTTGCGAGCATTTGTTTCAATTAGCTAACCTTGCCTTTTGACATCGAATTGCTATTTGTACGCCTTGAGACTAATTGCCACTTACTATGAGCCAATCAGACCGGACCGAGCGTTAGTACGAACCTTTGGAATTCTTGAAGATTAGGAGCCAATTGTAACTCTTAGGGAACCAAACAGATCCAGTTTCTGGGGGTTCGGGCTACTCGGTCATCTTACAGAAGCAAGCATGACTGACTACTCCTAACGTCAGGTTTTTGGCACCTCCTTTTGCGCGCTTGTTTAAAAGAGCATCGTCTTGATGCACACGAGGAATCAACGAATATTTCTCGTCCTAGTGCTCTGTAAAACTGTTGTGCAAGTGGAGTTGGCACCTGTAAAGCATTTGGAGCGTTTTCACCCACAGCATACCATATTGAACTAATGAGGAGTCCAGCATCTTGAGGATTCTGTTGATTGCTATGTTTCACCCGGTGCCTGGTATGAACTAGGTAATGCTCGTGCCTCATTAAGGCTTCGAGTAGTTAGTGACGGTTTCATATGAATTAGATTAGTCTCTAATGTGCCGGTGTGAATCTCCATCTTTAGCTATTTAAATGGCCCTCCTAGCTAGCGAGTTTCCGCCTTTGCTCATTGGATGGAAGGGAAGAAAAAGTTAATAATTGCGTCGTAGCAAAGTTTTGAAACCATGTGATTTTGACAACATTTGTGGGAACCCGTGCTGACTAAAGAGCTGATCTCTACCATGTGTAGCATCTTGATAGCTGCGAGCTGGGCCACCTCCGTTCGCCTTGGACGAGTGTCCCTCAAGACAAAGCAACAGCATTGGAGAGATATTGTAGAGGCTTCTTTCGCTTTTCGATAGTGTTTATCAGGCAATTCGTAAACCGATGAAGAGACGAGAGGCTTGGGCATCGTGCAGCACTTACTACTGACTGCTCGAGTAGTGTTTTTATGAACATTGTTGAAGTCGAAATCTTCTCAAATTTAGATTGCTGAAGTAGTATATTTTGTGTCCAATTGTTTAATTGAACTGTATCTCCCACCTCAATGCAAAACCTGGTGTGACATTTTCGGTCGATTTCTCCCCTGTACATTGGTTCGCTTCAACGTTGGGCTTTACATTGCCTAAAGTTTTAAGCCTAGGAAGTGGTTTGCGAATCCACCCTTGACACAAAAGTTTATTGGTGTAATCTCACCCTTGAAAGCGGTCGGGTGCTAATTTTTTTACGACCATGTCACTCGCCTCCTTTTCGTTACCCCACTTCTGTAACCAAAGTCGATCATGGGTCACTCAGATGAAATCGAATTTGACGAAAGGACACCGTCATTTATTTTGCACACATTGTCTCTTCCGGCCTGCAAAAAACGGCTGTTCATCGTTGTAATGCTCATCTATGCATTAAGACTTTTCATGTCTGGAGCCGTCATACGATAACAGGCTTACATTCTAGCCGAGTCAACTTTCTTTCGCCAACAAATGTGCCCATTTGTTTGGAATTCGTAAGTCTCTCTGGAGTCACTGAAAATGGCTTCATTACAAGCATTTATCATTTCCTACCATTTGGTGGATCCTCTTCTATTCTTTGGGTTTCTTTTTCATCACTCATTTGTGGCTGTTTTTGTAGCGATTCTAAATCTGCAAGTGCCTCGCCTATTGGTACACCTGTGGTGACCGCGAACAGCCCTCACTTTGGGCTAACTGACATTTTTGTCTTTCGCGGCCTCTTTCTCCCCGCCGATGTGAGCATCCTCGGCAAAAATTTCTTCTCTTGTTCACCCACTTCACATCGCAGAACAATTGCGCATCCCTTCAACGGGCAAGTCTCTCCTCATATCTTTGCTGTTTTTCATGTTTTTCATTATATATCTGCGAAATGCGATTTCTTAGCTGGTGAGTCTTCCATTTGATGTCTGCCTCTCTTTTGTGCCAATTCGTCCTATTCTTAGCTCTGATGAAGCAAGCCAGTGTTTTTTTGTTTTCAAGTACTGCGGCGTTGCCTTTACAGTTCTCGATCGGGCACGCTTACTATTTCACACCTCTTTATCCTTGTCAAGATTTTGACAAGCAAGCCTGTTGCTTTTTTTGATGTTTGTAAGGTGAGCTGTGTCAACAGTGGTAGTACTGAGGCAATGCATAATCGCAAATACTATCTTGATCCTCGTAGTACTTAACTATCTCATTTTTGGTACATTACTTAGTTATCCACCTTAAAAGGCGTACTTTTTATCGTGCATAGATAATTGACCTGTATTTCGCTTTTCTAAAATCATTTTGTCTATTGTGGGTGATTTTGCAGCGTAGCTATGAAGCCCCTGTAGGATTTCATTTTGAGACAATAGACAGACTCGACGGTTAAAGGCGCAAACATCAGGTTAACATTCGCATGCGCGCCCACCAAACATTCTCCCACTCTGTAGTTGTAGTTTAAAAGTGTAACTGTCGTGCAGCCTGCAAGCTTCTTGCATGGGTGATTTTTCGTACAAAAATATATTTTTTGTTCTTATGTCTTACGATTGATAAAGCACGACTCCTTTATTCACCTTGGATGGTCCACCATCACTTCCTGGTCTTTTGACATTTTTAGTTGCTATCGTGATATGTTCTACTGCCTTTCTTGTACAGAACAAAGAAGGACATCACCGATGGCAGATCCGTTGATGGTGATGGGGATAAGAAGCCAGAAGGAGCGCTATTTGATTGTATTAAGAAGCTTTGCATTTCTGAGGCCTGTCGGCGTGGCAATTCTCCTTGTCCTAAACGTAAGACAACTGCAATGATTGTTGTCAAATTGCTTCCACCGTCCACCTTGAAATGCCAAACTCGCCTTTCGGTTTACTTTTATGATGATGCGAAAAGTGGACTTGTTATTGTTTATTGTAGCAGATCTCCTCTTGTTTTTCGGTGATTTCAGCTTTGCCTCGCTGTATTTCTTTGCGGCCGTGGCAATGATATTGTTCTTAAATCATTTCAGTGTTTTATTTGTTCTCTCAAGTGTTCATGGATGTACATGCGACATCTTATTTTGGTTAGTTTAGTTCTAAAAAACGTTGAGTTTGCATCAGTAGCGGCTAGATTCGTGTACAATTTTCCTTCGTATTTTATGCTCATATTCAATGGAACCCTTCACGTATAATTTGGATTAGTATTTTATTAAAGGCAACACGGGTATGCAACGGGTGAATGAAATCACACTTATGAGTGAGACTTTGGTCACATGAAAAGCAAAGCATATGCATTAGCTTCTTATGTGGCTTCATATCATGTGAAGGAGTAGGAGAATCAAGTATTTCAACTATGTAGAAGGTTATTTTTTGTCTTGATGATGGTGTTTATACTGTTTGTACCCTACACTTAGCTTTGAACACTGTTTGAGGTTGTCTATGTAGTCTCTCCATCACCAACATCCTCAGGATACTGCGTGCCTGGATATGAGCGTAGGTGGTGTCTATAACTGTCCTGGGGAGTTGAGTCCGTCGGTTTCTTGAGTGTGTCATTTGTGTTGAATTCCTGCTCCCCATTTACAAGGCGAATTTCAAACAATATGTATTGTACAGTCGATACCAACCTCATTGAGGCCTGTCATAGCTTAAACGGCTCTGCTTCAATTGTTTGCGAAGAAACCATGCACTAGTCGAAAACTTTACGGGATGGTTGGTGAAGAGGATAGCAAATACAAGGCCAATCCTTCTGGTTGACATTTTTTTTCACGCGCATTCTGTCGAATCCTTCTTTTGCTGACTTGACATGTTTTCTACGCCATGTTTATGGTTAGGCAATTTTGTTGATCAACATTCACCTTACAAGGGATGCCATTCTGAAAAGTCGTTGGGAAAACAATTTACTAGTACAAAAAAACGACCTAATAACTTCAAAGAAAGTAATTGACGAAACAATCTTCAGAAATGTTCATTGAGGTCTTAATCACAAGGTGACGAGCTTGGTTTTGTGGAAAGCATTTCGTTTATTTGGTCCAGAGTTGGTTCAGTCATCTTCTCTTCCTCTCAAATTGGCAATTCTGATCATCCCTCCTGAGGTTCATAGTTGAACTCCTGTTGTAAAGTCTTAGAGCACGAGGTCTTGTGTTGCCACTTGAAAATGATCGTCTTTCAACTTGTTGCTTATTCTCAACTATTTCTCAAAAGTGATTTACATGTCTACATATCAAGCACAGTCTTTCGAAGGAAAAGTGCTTTTTTGTCTCAGAAGTGCAGGAAGTTTGGGTAAGGGACTTGTTTAAAGGCAACCAATGACATTTGAATGCAATCGTTCCTTACCATAAGTAAGTTGCCTAGCAACTCGCCCTCATTGAAAGAATGAAATAGCTCTCTTCAATTCTGTCTGATTTGTCACTACACGTGGCACTGGTTTGCTTGACCTCACTATGCCTTTCTCCTCCCTATTGGGTCTTTCTAACCGTTCTTGCTGCTTTTTTTGTTTCTAGTACCCTGATCATTGGAAGCACGTAGCTCTCAGTGGTATGGAATAGGTAGTCTTGCTGAGAGCAATTATCTCTGCCCTCCAATGTGTTTTGTCGCTAAAACTGCGTAGCTTGATTTGGCCACTTTTCCAAGTGTTGGTTGTACTACTCTACTTCCTCTGACTTCTCTACTATGCAAATGTGGAAACTGTTAAGTACTTTCTTGCAGCATCGATTCTTTGCTGAAATGGGGGTTGCAGTCTTTATTACATATTTGTATTCGCTGCCACGCGCTCGTACCATCAACTGTGAAGGCATTTATTTTTTATTCTACGAAACACATTATCAAAGTTTCAGTGAATAGCACTATGTCTTTCCCCTTCTCCATAGTGGCCGAAGACGCTGAGGTGGAGTCGTGGCGCCGTGAGGTGGTTGAAGAAGTAAAGAACCTTATGAACAGTCTTTTACTCGGACGAGTTTGCACCAACCTCCTCGCCCTTTCGCATCGCGCCTCCACCGGCATCCTTCGTGATGGCCGTCGTCGGGATTTTGCCTCTGCTTGTCTACATACTGAAGTTGCCCAAATTCTCTTTAGCTATCGATATTCTCGTCTTGCTCGCACTCTTGTCCAGGTCTTCCTCGGCCAGTTTCCCCCTTCCAATGAGGTTTGTTCCGATCTATCCTGTTGACATTTGCTTGCTTTTTTGGCTCATTTGACGTTATCATTAATAGCACTTTCGTGCTCTACGGATTTGGTCCAAACAGTCATGTGTATCTTTGTTTTGGTAAATAGGACTTGTTTAAAGGTGAATGCATCGTGTTGCTCTCATATCAGATTCTGTGTCTCAAGGCATACCTAGCCAGCTTTTTCACAAGTAAAGAAGAGGTTTTTGTCTTACCCCCTTCCTTACTAAAGTTGGCTACTTTTTCTACCCATTAGTTAAATCTCCACTCTCGATGCTACACGTCCCAGAGATGTCGAGAACCGCATAATTGAGGTCTCATTTGCGTAATAAAACTACTTCCAGCCTCCTGTTTTGTCTTTAGGAGGACCATAGGATTTCTATATTGATGCAACTGGCATCGTTAATGCAACTCTTCTACTAGTTTGCACATTTCTCACTATTATTTTTATTAGTATTTTCTTCCTTCTTAATCTTCCACCTCTGACTCTAGTTCAACTAGATCATTTGACAAGTGAGTGTTTATAGGTCCTAGCTTCTGAAATGCAAGTCCATGATTTGCAAAACGGGCGTCAGTACGACAGCTAATATGAAACATCCAACACTGTGATGGTTGCTCTAACTAAATCTTTTACGATAACGCTATTTATGGCGAAGTGATTTTATCTGACGCATTTCTCATAATGTGCTCACTGAAAGATTTTGTTCGCGGGCAGTTGCTTGCTGATGCCAAAAACGCCCTTGAGGATTGGGATAATGCAATCACACTGGATTCCTCACCTGATTCATCCGTCCCTTTCGTCCCGTAACGACTGGTCAATCTCACCCACCCAACGCCGACCGTCGCTCCACGGCAGCCTTCGGTAGCTCTACCAGTCGAGGCCTTCGGTCATCCTCTATGCCACAGAATTAGTCAGCACTTTTTGCGTTTATGATGCCGCTTTTTTTGTGATAAATGACAAATGCTTCCTCCAAAAATTATTCACCGGTGCGTTTTTGAAAATCATAGAAGAAATTTGTGCTAGGCAATTCGAAATATATGCTCTCTTTGGGTACTGCTGTTACTCTTTGCTTTTGTGATTTCACAGGCATTAGTGGTGGCAAGGCTGGCAGTTTTTACTGTAACTTTCTCTCACGTATTGGTTTTCCTTTTTTGGTGTCTGGCGAGAGCAGATTATCATGGTAAATGCATCAGCAAATTTCTCACTAACAATTCTACAATGCAACTCAAGTCATATTCATTGCTTCCTTCGTGAAGTGTCTATCAATACCATTTCCTTAAGGGATCTCAAAATGGTCCCGTTAGTTTTTCTCAACCGCTTCATAAGAGTAGCTTTGCATTTTATGTTCCGTTTCCTTCTCCCCACTTCACTACTTGAGCCAGCCAGCCAGCCAGCTGTGTTTACTCGACCGCATCACGCAGCCAAGCCTACCTGGCCGACTTGAGGGCCTGAGAGCTGATGTGTGGTACGGACACACGAAATTGCCCAATAGGATGGCAATATCCCTCGAAACTACCTTTTTGGCAGACTGCAGTGCATAGAACAACTGACTGTGTGGTTACCTCACCTATGCGGCTTCTAGGACAGTTTTCAGGGCTATTTCTGTTTATTTCCACTTCTCTCCTCCTCCTCTTCCCATCCATTCAATATGTGCGATTGCAAACGCAGTCGCGAAATCCGTATCCCTCTCCTCCCTCTTCCTCCTCCATATCCTTCCCCACCTCACCTCCGGAGTCAAGTTTTGAAAACAGTTTTGTCAGCGAGTACAACGTTTATGAGCCAAGAGAGGCGTTTCCTGAAACTCAGACAACTTCCCCCTTTCCTCCTCCTCCTTCCCCATCCCTGTCACCACCACCAACTCGAAAGAGGAAAATAGCCTCTCAAAGGGACGACATTTTAGAGAAGATATTTCTCAACTACAAGACGCATGAAAGACCCACAGAACAGTTGGATACTTCGACAATCGTTAAAGTTAACATGAAGATCCAATCCATCTTTTCAATTGATGTGCGAACCATGGACTACTATGTGGATGCATTGCTTCGACAAGCTTGGGTCGATCCTCGTCTTGCATGGGATAAAATGCCTGAACACAAAAATTTCACACAGCCTCTGGTATCGCCCAAAATGAAAAATCAACTTTGGCTTCCAGACCTCTTCTTTCGCAATGGCAAGGAAGGTTATTTGCACAAAATGACTCTTCCCAACTACCTCCTTCGTGTCTATCCTAATGGTAAAGTTTTGTATAGCCAAAAGATCACAATGCGATTCGCCTGCCAAATGGACTTACAAACATTTCCGATGGATGTTCAGGAATGCGATATCAACATTGGCTCTTATGGATACACACTGTCGGAGCTGAAGTTTGTGTGGAGTGACAGAGCTCCCATCGAATTAAACAAGGACATGCAATTGTCAGAATTTAACACACCAAAGGCGTTTGCCACCTTAGACTGCACTTCACAGGCCTCCACATCTACGGGAAATTATAGCTGCCTTCTAGCCAAATTCTCGATTGCTCGCCGATTAGGCTCGTATCTGGTGACCACGTACATCCCCAACATTCTCATAATCATGGTGTCGTGGTTGAGTTTTTGGGTTTCTGTCGATGCTGCTCCTGCACGCGTTCCACTCGGACTCATGACGCTCCTTGGCATCTTGACACAGGCCTCCTCATTGGGCTCCAACCTCCCCCGTGTCTCCTACATTAAGGCTATTGATTTGTGGTTGATCTTTTCCATCATCTTTGTGATCAGTGTCCTTGTAGAATACGCTTTGGCTATCACATACCTACGAAAGACGCGGAAAGGTCAGTGGAAGACGGATTTACGTGCTATTGTTCGTGAGGAATTGGCACGATGGTGCTCAGCATGTCAACAAAAGGAGTTGGAGAGTATGCGGGCAGCTGGAGCGGCTGTACCCAAGTATCAGGCCGACTACTACACCCAAATGGAGGCCATGATCGCCTTCCGTAGTGTCGTAGATCAGTATCGCAAAAGACGACTTGCTAGTGCTGGAAAGAACATTGTTAATGCAAGGATGAAGGTTATCACCGGGGTGACAGAATCTGTCATTGATGCGTATAGTCGATTTCTCTTTCCTCTTTGTTACCTTGTCTACAATGCATGTTATTGGCTTTATTATCTTGTTCTTGTCAAACACTGAAGGTGTTGACACTTCGATGTTGTAATTGATCAGTTCCTTTGCTGTTTGCAAGCTCAACCCCTTCCAGTCTGCATAATGTTTGCGATGGAATGCATTGTAGTTATGCTCGATATTATTATTCCATATTAATTTCATATTAACAGTTGGCTTTTTAGCTCCTTAGCTCCTGATTTCTTTGCTTGGGTTAATTGCAAACGATTGTATCTTTTTTTTGCCTTGAGGGAATGCTGATCACCCTTTAAGAGAAGGCTCTCAAAGGTGTGTACGCTTTCTTGCTAATCTTCTACCCTTTAATAACCTTTGGAAGCTGGATTGAGCTTCTAATGTGGAGTGCTTCTTCTGTCCAAGTTGGCATTCATGCGATTGGGTCAACACGCGTTTTTTTATGCAAGAATGTAATAAACTTTGCTCTCAACCTCATATTTTGCTGCATTTAATCTTACATGGAAGCACTGAAAGTCTGTTTAGTTTAGAAGGCGTTTTTTATAACCTTTTTTTGCTCTTTGCAAGATGGTCTTTGAGTTGATGGAAGGTGGAGTGAATTTTCAGCCGAGCTTGTTGAATATGTACCAAAATTGCTTAGTTGGGGACCATAATCTGCACCTTAAATATTTACTGACCACCTTCACTTTGTGAAAATGCAACCGGAATGTCTCTGTTCAATGCCGTTCGCGTGATGTTCACGTAGGCGTCACAGCTAACAGACTCCGTTGCTGGGGTCTCCTTGGTGCCTTCTTGTTGAAACGTAAGTACAGGATTCTTTCAAACTTATTCCAAATGACTGTACCACACAGAAAGGCCTCACACTTTGAATGCTCTCTCGTCATTTTCGTTACTGTCAGTGTCACTGATTCTGTTTGCTTACGAGGGGTATGCGCGTTGTGATCAAAGTGCCTAAAGCTCGTGTTAAACTGGTTCACCCTCGAGCCAGAGACAAACCCAGATGGAAAGGTGAACAGAATCGCAGAATATGGCATAGAGAGTTGGTCCAAATGTTCAAACGGGTTTCAATCAATTCGCGTACGCATTCATCTAGGACCTCTGTGTCTGGACCTCACTCATCAGTTCTTTCCATGCTTGTCATATTGAGCGTTTGCCAGTCCCATTTGGCCAATTCAAAGGGGTTGGATGTTTCAGTTCTAGCGTAGATGTCCTTATGGACATTTAAAGTGGACACGCCTGAACTTTCTCAGTTGCACTCTTCAGTCTATTCAAGTGGGGATATTTGTGACATTTGGAAGGTGGTGCTGCTGAATTATGACTTCTGTTTCATTTTGTTTATTACCTTAACACAGGCTTGTTCCGACAGTCGATTTGTGGCAATGTCGTAAATTGAAAGGCGAAATGTTACTTACACTGAGGAAAGGCAAGTGGCGCCCAATTTTACTTGTGTGATTAATTGAATAATAGTAATTCAGTCATTTGCAGCGTATATTTGAATTCTTTTTAGGAAATGGCTCATTTGGCACACGATGTCTTGCGTTTTGATTTTTCTTTTTATCACGTAATGCTACTGTTTTTAATGAGTAGTATTGCCGTATTTGTTAAAGTTATTCCTAAATTATCACAATGCCTTCGATTGCGAGTTATACAGCCCCTTCCAAAACCTTGGTAACAGCATGAACCAGTATGAACCTCGAAATAGTGAAGAAATGAGAATTGAATCTGCTCAATGACGAGTGAAGGGCGAGTGGTGGTTTATACTCGTGGCTACCTTTGATGTACAAACTTGCGGTGGATGTGAAGGTTATTCTTCGCAAAGAGGATGCTGTTTTGATCTCTACAATTGGCTTAATGCATGTTCTGATTGTGAAGCTCCGTCTTAAGTCTAGCTTCAATCTAACCACAAATAGGTCTCAAACTACCTAGAACGTCCATTATTTTGGCGGCACTATTTTGGAATGGGTAAGAATTGCAGTGGACTTTGCACAAGCATTGTCTTCAGCACTACATCGACGTCAGAGGTAGAGGTATCGACAGCATGACACTTGAAGAAAAAGAATAATGGAGTGAGCCAGATGTCAGTCCACCTGGTGAAGGTGCAATGTCAAACTAAGTTGCCTCTAGGGGAATCGACAGGCAAACTACCAAAAGGAAGGGTGCAATGGGTTTTTTCTGCCCTCCGCTCGAGTGCTTTTAAATGCTGGAGGCGTTCGAGCCCTTGTTTTGCAGCGTTTACTTTACTGATCAAGTGTGTGTGAATTGCATGATCAAAACTCGTGAATTTTTAATAATCTTTGACCTTATAAATGGTAAATTAAAGCATTTCTGAACGATTAAGGCAATAATACAGCAACTAACGTCAACGCTTTAATAACAGTTTTTAGTCAATTGATGCGACTTGATTGTGAAAATCAGAGACACGAACCTTTTGAAGCCTCTCGAGACTTCTTGTCGGGTATTACAGGGCAAAAATTTAATCACTTTCATGAATTTAGACAGAGAAGGAGGAAATTGGCTTTTGATGTGGCCTGACAGAACCAGTGTGGATGCTAGTTTTCCGTCACTGATTCTGGTAATCAAAGAAACAAAGTATTACAGGGGGTCACCACCCTTTTAGATGGCGTTTCTGCCCCTTTCTTGACAAACTTCCTTCTTCAGTCATCACGAACACGCACACGAGTTGGCTGTGCTGGTCATCCACTCCGATGCGTCTGGCACGGCACTCTTGGTGTCAGCGTCATTGATCCATCACAACCACTTCAACTAGATTTGAAAGCAGAATTCGGATGTCGGAATTCCGTTCAACATCACGTGTGCCTTTTGCCGAACATTAAAGCACTGGTTGATCAGAGAGATTGCGGGATTTATTACAATCTTGTGTTGATGGAATTTAAACACATCGCCAATGTCGACGTCTGTACACAAATGCTGCAGAAGGAACTTCAAAACAAAACCTTTCTAGGTGGCTCAAGACGACGTTGATTCATTTATTAAAAACTAGCCAGCGAAGCATGAAGTATAAGCATGGGGAGTAAACATTTATTTCATTTTTGGCCTTTCTGTCGGGGAGAACTTATAAATTCTCCCTCCCGAAGTATATGTGCTTTATCCTCATCGTTAAATTTTGTTGCAAACAGTGAAAAGGAGGATTGAAGCCTTTTAAAACTCCAGTTTGCTTTGCGCTGCCATTAAGTTGTCGTCTCAAGACTACCCATTAGGCGATAGAAAGCATAAGGCTTGGTCAATTGCTTCTCTTTGGGCAGATGGAGTGGAAATAGGCCTCTGACACGGTCGGAAGGTCAACCCAACCGACAGAAGTATGATAATCGCTTAAGAGATTGCCACTCACACAGAGAGATGAACAAAATAAGTGTTGCGTGCCTTTCAAATGTGACACCTGAGTTAGCAAGTTTGGCTGAGGTGGATTGAAGTTAAATCGGTTTCGTACTCTGTCACTGAACACGTGGTCCCAAGCAAAGATCCAATTCTTCCTCAGTAGCTCAGTGCCTGACGGAGCCAAAATTCCGTCGAATGATCGGGCCTTGGGGCAAGCTGAGGCATTTACGAGATGTCATTAGGAGAGCTTTACGGTGAAGCGAAGTTCCTACACTCCAAAGTTGAGGAGGCGCGCATTTTTAGGTTAAAACAGCTTAAATCCTTAACGCGATTCGAATTATATAAATATTAACGATTAACAACATTTTATCTTACTTTTCATGGAAACGATTTGGCCTAAAAAGTGTTATTTTTGTTCTACCTTCCAATTACCATGTCAATGTATCAAGTTTTGCTTGGAATTCGAAAATGTTTTTTTTTTCGCTCAAGGGACAGTGACATGGCTAAAATGTGACAGTTGGATTTGGGACGATAGAAAATTTATGAACAAGAAAAGTAAACGCAATTAAGTTGCTATTATGTGTGAATGGTAAGGCTAGTTTGCCGGCTTTGCGTTTAACACACTTATTTTAAACGCAATCTTTTAATATATATGGAGTGTTTAAACAACGCTTTTAAGTGAGAGGCGAAAATTCAAAATGGACACCTGTTTGGAGGAGTGTCTGGTCGACTGTTGGGAATCGTATTGATGTGTTCGTTCTCCCTTTTCCAGCTTTCCTCGTCTAATTTCATGATCCTTTTTCAGAGAAGATATGCCTTTCGGGCTAGCCTCAGAGGAAGGATCGAGAATCGAGAGTAGTCCCCAGCATTGCATATTATACTTAAGAATCATTGAAGATTCAAGGGGAGTTAATGCTTTGAGTGAATATGTATTTTATGGGTGCCAGCCGGATTCGGGTAGTCCTCACCCTCGGCGAGGACACGTAATGACCGAACTAGTCCCTTTATTTGGAACCCCGTAGTCTCTCCTTACTTAAACAGTGCCTCCAGCGCTCTCTTCTGACGCTAACCGAAATTCAAGAGTGAAAATAATCATATAGCTATGTAATTGAGGATTTCTGAGGCTTTGTCGGGGTTAGAAATTGTATTTGGAGGTGCAATGGCTCGAGGAGTCTTACGCAGATCCAGCTGTGTGCGTTGACATTGGAAAAAGTTGTTTCGAAACTTTTCTAGAAGGCTCTCGATTGGTATCACCTCCGTTTTTGATGGTTTTAACACAGAACACGGGAGTGAGGTGGTTGACGTTTGTGGACGTCATTTTTAGCCTTTCTGTTATAGGTCACATGTACTTCGTTTACAAGACCCAAGTTTTTTAATCGTATGTGAAAATCAAAGCAAAAGTCAGTTGTAATTGGAGTGACTTTCTGTTGTCGGAGCGTGGATTTCTGATGCTTCCTGAAGCCAGTTTGGGAAATATTGCTGTTGCAGAAGATATGCACATACAGAGCGGAGCAAGAAATCGGGTCACTGTCGTAGTTCACCGACTAATTTTGTCTAGCCAAGGCACCAAAAGCCAATCAAGTGATTCTCACTCGAAACCGAGAGGTCAACAAACAACCGACGCACTAATTTTAACCAGATTACATTTTCTCCAAATGAGGCATCCAACTAGTCGTAACTGGCTTTTTTTCTTTTAACGAAAAGACAGCAAAACATAAAATTTAGGCATAAGGCTGCAAGATAATCAGGACAGTTGGGTTTCGTGCGAATTTACTGTGGGCATTTTACTGCTCGCCCCAGTATTAACCACTTGCGCATCATGATGAGGAATGGGGAAATGAAATAGGCGTACCTTTGCACTGGATTGTCGACAAAAGTGTCGGTGCAAGGTTAGTAGCCGAGTTGGATGTAAAAAGCACGATGGCGACGTCATGATCCTCTGACTACTGGTGTTGGTCACGGCCAAATGGGTGGACTGACCTCCAATTTATGGCCAAAAGTCCTGACTCTCTTCCCTTCAATCCGAAATTGTGCAATGTGAATTAAGTTGTGTGTGTGTGTGTGTGTGTGATATCTTGAGATTTCCTATTTGGCACTAAAAAGCCAAAAGACTTGTCAACAGGGGAAAGAGGAAGAGGTTGGGCTTTATCGTGGCCTAGAAACCAGCCCACACAAACAAGGGCAAGGTGAATACAAAAATAATTTCCCGTCTTAAAGGTGTTCGAATAAACACGGAATCTCTTCCCTATGAAAGTATTAAGAAGCTTCATTAATGACAGTAGAAAGCGATGCTGACTTTGAGAGGTTTTTTGGTAACCTTATTTTCATCATTTTAGCAAATTTCAGCGGTGCTGTGAAGCCCACAGGCTATGGGGCGGGGATTGCTGATTTCTTTACCATGGACTGACTTGAAGTGATGTCCACCTGCGTCATCTTTCCTCACTTCCGTGTTCCTTAGTAAAGTACTTAAGATTCTTGATTAACGTCAATCCATGAGACTTGTCGGCGTTCCCAATCTATGCGGCCGGTTCTCAAGTCAGACATTCCTCAGACTGCCGAATGAGGTCGGTGCCATTGAGTTTAAGGTCCTCAGACGCATGAGAGTTGATTACTGTCACATCTCAAAAAGCAGTAGGAACGTGGCTTAAAAGAAGAGGAATATCAAGAAGTGATTTGCTTGCTTAGCTACCGGTTTTAATTACCGTCTCAAGGGTGGGGATGTGATGTGATTCCGCCCATCTATCACTAAAGAGGGTGCGAAGCTTGAGATAGCGACTTTATTTGTCTACAGGCAGCAAAAGTCTCATGATCAACCATTCTACGGTATAAACACAGCGTTTTTTGGTGTTTCTCAGACTGTGAGGTGATCCAGTTTTGTGATAGCAGCACGAAAGTCCCTTGACATGATACCTAATGAAGGATTAAGCGATGCCGACCAGTGAATGGTTAACCGTGAACCATAACAGCGCCAGCACTCAATTGAACCTAACAAAACCAAAAAAAGTTGATTTTAACCGATGTATGCGTGCAATCGCCTCAAAAATGTATTCAAATCAGAAATTAATACATTTGACCCTTATTTTGCAGAGTTGAGCTTATTTAAAAAAAGCAGTCCTTTATGCTATTTGAACTTGACGCTGCAAAGTAACGCTAAGTCGAAAATGGAGGAGATGGATGGCATTACTTCTGGACTGTCTTAACGCAAACCGATTGTAGGACACTTGCGGGTCTCCACAATCTTCAAAAAGAAAGCAAGGTGGGAGGAGTTGGCAATGGGAATATGGAAGAATGCAAGACAGTGCTGACTCACACCGTCTTGGAGATTAGCCTGGCGTTTTATTGACGTGCATGCTGCAGAGCCATTAACTCGACCCGGCTACTGACCGAAGCATTGACCTTACTGGGGTTAAGCAGTGGATGCTGGATACTCACAGAATGACTGACATGCCATAACCCACCAAGTGCCACCCACTACGTCGGATGGGTTTTCAATGCATACCGACATTGTCTGTTCCGCTGATTTGCTGCCATTGCTGAAATATTCGACGCTTCGGGCCAACTCCTTCACGCCTAGAAAGTAATGCGTTCTCTTGAAAGGTGAGAGAGGTAGACGAAAAACCCCATCAAGCCTTATGAAGGGAAAAGTATACCTCAGTACAGTGTAACGACTACGAAATCACAAAGAAGTCTGATCCACTTGACTGTTGTGAAAAATTGAAGAACATCGAAGATAAGTCGCATAGACTCAAATTTCCAAGTTAAAGGCGTTGTAGATCACTTCATGTCTGCCTAATCTCAAGAAACGTCAACTTCTGGAAGTAGTCTCTTCTTTAAGGCAAGGCTAGATTAAGTTTTGCCGGATGAAAGCTAAGCAACCACATGAACCTCAACATCCGGCAAAATTTTGCAACATGCAGGAGAGGTGCGTGCAAATGTCGTAGCTCATAGACCAATCCACGTAGCGGACGAATTACAACTCATTGAGTGAAACTTCGACGAATTCGTTTTATGACTTCATCAGAGCTCATTTTTAGCTTTTTTTTTGCTGATCCGCCTCCACTTCACCCATCATAACTTGAACTGCAGGTGTTGGTTATCACCACTTTATACATCTGCGAAGGTACTTGACCCCCGCACTGCTTATCACTTTTAGCACTTCTACTAAAATCTGTACTTTTGTCCCTTGCAAAGACTAAAATTGGAGCTGAGGATTTTGTTTTGAAAAGAAGTATGAAATTTGAATAAATTCTTTGAATTAGCAATCGCCATTTGTTCTGTTTTGTCTGGTTACGTTCTGACAAGGTGGTGGAGGAAATGAAGACGATACCTCAACATTATCTTTTCTACTTTTATGTGCTCATATGCTAAAGGAACTCCAAAACAAGGTTTTGTAAATCATTCGCGATTAATACTGCATCTGTGACTGATGACGCTCATAGAAAACACGGAATCAAAGTAGTCGTTCGCATTTTATTCTGCCTTCTGAGAAGGCATTTGGAGGTACATTGAAGTTCTCATTCGCCGTCAGCATCGCAGTCTTGAGGCCAAATGGGGTTACATTATTCAAGCAGAATGCAGATTTTCAGAGAGTGGAAGGATTTTAGACGATTGGCTACTAAATTACGGCTGGGAGTTGCACAACATAACCAGCAATTAGCACCAAACTCGAACTTTTACACCTGCATTTAATCTCAGTGCGTTGTGGTCTTTAGCAACGCAAAAAAGAAAACTCCTTTTGCACCTGAGTTGCTGAGATTTTCAGCCTCCAACTTTCATTTTCAGCATGGGACAATAGGACGCAAGAGACCAACCCAAATTTCAACTCAAAATTTGCCTAATCACCCTCAGTTGGGTCATTTCTGTACGCCTCAATTCGGTGCAGGAAGCTGAGTAAAACACTAAAAACAGATAATCGAGTAAAATTTTTTCAGCATAAAATAAGCAGATCACGTAAAGTACTGACTTCTAATTTTAGTTTACGATTTCATAAGCGCAACAAATGACCAGAACGAATCGCTAATGCCATCAAAATGACGACCAACATTGCAGAGTGATAGAATTTGTTAAACCTCACTTTCTACTTCCCTATCCTATAAAAAACAATTTCCTCAACATGAGTAAAATATTTTTCCATTTTGTTCTTTTGGATCATTAATCAAATGTGAGTGATAGGGAGAGAAAGAAAAAAGGAGGGAGAAAGAGACAATTAGGAATCAGTGTACTCGTCTTGAGGATTAAAGGGTTCGCGTTGAAGTAAACAGGGCCGTGTGAACTCCTGTCCAGCGGCACGTATCCACTTGTTCATCACCCACTTGCTGCCCACCAACACTGGACAGGCGCCATGACGGGATCGTATGTCGCCATCACCACTGCGCAACAGATTGTACCAAAAAACGAGGGCTCGAGGCACTGGTTTTACCACTGCATTTGTTTTTGTAAAAGCCGTTGCTCCACCCAACTCCACCGGTGTTAGCTGGAGGCGGTAATTGGAGTGAGGAGGGAGGGAGAGGGGCGAAGAATAAGCAGTAATAAAATTAATTAAATTTCTTCGGCTCAAATTGTGTAAACCTCTTCTTCTCCACTCCTAGATATAGTTCCTTTGGCTCTCATCCAAACAACTTTGGTGCCTTCAGCACTTTGTTAAGGAGTGTTGTGTTGGTTTAATTATTCTACCAAGATCCAATGGCACAATCATCATTTCCTTAATTGTATTTACATTTAAATGACAATGATTAAATTCGAAGTCGTTGACATAAATCGTGAGATGCTAAGGTTACTTCCTAAGGCGACACACTTCTCCACCCTATGACACCGTTTTATCGACTTCCATGATTAAAGCGTGGAGGAGACGAACAATTTTGAACTGGTAAAAAATGGAGTGAGAGACTTTATAGTGGAGCAACGTTTTCTTTTTTTTTGGAGGCAGGTGGTTGGACATAAAAAAAGCAAACTCACATAAATCATTGTAGTTGCAATGCGATTGCCATGAGCACTGTCATATTCGTCCAATTCGAAACGCTTAAAAAGAGGGAGCAAAACTCGAGGGTCAAGGCCGTGGTTGGAACATAAAATAAACGATTCTATCTTATAAACCACCAAAACTATCTCTCACACCTTCCAGTCAGGTCAGCCTCCACTTTCTTTGTTCCTCATTCTAATAGCAGAGGTTAAACAGGTCGGTGATGTTGAACTAAGGATAATGTGTAAACCAAACGATCTCCTACATGTCGAAGAAGTACTTCGCATGCCAATTTATACAGGAAAAGCACTTGAGCCTGAAAGGGTTTAGTTTCTTTTGCATCGATGCGAAGTTACCAGTAGAAGAGACGGCTGTCATTCAGCATTTACCAAACTGACTGATGTTTTGTTGTTCCCTCGCCCCTAAACACCGGTTGAGGTCACTTTTTTGAGGTCTACTGACCTCTGGACTAGATCATTAGTCTGCACTCCATTTTTTTCCCAACACTAAGCCCACTCTGCCTCCTCTTTGCTCAGGGAAGTGACGGCATCAACTAACTTAACCTCACAAGGTTTCAATTTTGATTTCTACCATTTAAACCAAACAGGGCGGAGGAAATTCGTGGAATCAACAAGAACAAAAGAGGAGATTGGCGAGTGGTTTATAATAGAAGGCCTAAAAATGACATTCACCTGCAGTAACCGTCCCAGCCTCAACCTCTACAGGGAAGCTACTAACAATGGAAGCAACATTGGGTGCGAAGCATTGGAAAAAAAAGGATTCGTCTAGAAGCTTCTGCCTCCACTTCCTAACTAAGCGAATAACACTGAACAGGTCTGCCGTAGAATCAATGTGACCCGCAAGAATAGATGCAAATCCTCATTTTCCCATCCTCTGCGCTCCACTCCCAAAATTGGACGAGGATTCGCATCCGGTAGAATTGATCGGAGGGAGTAAAATGAATGCACAGTTGTATGAAAATGTAATGATTTGCTCGGACACCAGGTCGGTGATAGCAGAAGGAAGGAAATGCTAAAAGTCAACGCTCAGAAGAGTGGAGGTGCTGTGTAAAGGGTGTGTTGGCTGTTTAAATCCCATTCTTGTTTACAATCACTTTGGTGGGCGTTGTACTGACTTCTGAACACTGTCAGTAGCCTCGTTCCTCTCCTGTCCACCGACATCATGCATTCCACTCCACTGTTGAGCCTCCTGTTGCCTTCAGAGAAGTTGCAAAACACCTCACATCATTCGACGGATTCTTTCACCCAATTAATTTTTAATCAAACAAAAAGTAGCCAAGCGTTGGCATTTCCATCCTGTTGAGAATTTTTGACTAACTATTCTGTTTTGTTTACTACAAGTAGCTCGTCTTTTCGCATAAAAAGAACGGCCTCCTTTAGTCATTGGAGTCACAACGGCTTGGCGCTGTACCTTCTGGCAGTTATTTGCTTAAAAGAAGATATTTAAAGCGTGTAATTTTCAATTTTTACGCACTTTCAACAAACACTATTCCCTTTCGTGGTAGGTGTTCACTGATGTTGTACTTATGCGAGACTTTGGCTTCCCATAGCACAGACATGTCGCACCCCATTATTTTTTGGAAGAACTTTGGCAAGCAGAGTTGCTTAGTAAAATGCACCACCAATGGATTTCGCTTAGTGGGAAAAATTAGCAATAAAAAAATGCCATCCGCAACAAAGTGCAGATGACGTGGACTGATGATGCAAATGCCTTCAGAGAAGGCGGCAGTTGGGAGAACAGAGAGGGCAGGAGGAGGGGACGAGGCGAGGCACCGATCCAGTGAATATTTATTTTCCAGTGCTAGGAATGACTGGGTGTGTTTAGCTAGGGTGCCTTCATGGCGTCTTTATTAATGAATGGCGTGGAACAATTAGTAAATGCCATTATCAAGGTAAGTGCCGACTGGATACAAACTTTTGCCACCCTTTTAAAAGTAGATTTAGGAAAAAGAAACTTTCATAGCTGACCTCGGGGACAATGCAAAGTCGAATACTATAAAAGGTTGAAAGAAATGTTTCAATGTTCAGACAGAGGTTGTGCTACTTCAACTGTCATGAATTTAACAGACAACCAATGAGAGGAGGTGAGCACCCCTTTCAACTACCCCCTCCCCCCTTCCCCCTCTCCCCTCCATCCTCATTGGTTGGATTCGTTGGTTTCGCGAAAAGTATATGTAAAGCATCAAAACATTTCAATTGGCTTGAAGCAGGCAGAAGAAAACTCACCCTTGCGTAGTCGTAATGGGGAGCGTAATATCCACCCAGCCCATAGTTGGCAACCTGCAACTCCTCTCCATGGTCAATATTCAAACCTGTTGCCATGCGAATGCGGTCATTTATACGCCTTGTCAAGGCATTCATATCATCAGAAAGCCAAACACTGAAATAGAGCATACAGCAAGGATTCAGTAGGGTAGTGCCTCAGTATTTTTGTGGGTGTGTATATGTGTGCGTTTGGTTTTTTTTAATGTCTTGCAAAAATTTTTTTACGTTTTTCTACGGTATTTACGTTGATTCACTAGACAGTAACGCAGTCTCATTCAATCCCGAAGCACAATCAGCATATTTCCTTCAACCTAAAAACATTTTGTTTAAAATGGCAAAGAAGGTGTGTTCATTTGAAATTGCCGCTACGCTTGAGGCTGTTTTACTAATCAACGATGATGACAATCTCTTTTCAGCATAAAATTGGACTATGCTTGAAGGGCACGACTTAGCAGTACATATTTTATGCCACCGTTCTACTGCCTCATTCAACCGTTGAAGTGATGGGAAAAGAAGCACACACACACACACACACACACTTTTTTGTAACCCGATAGGGGGCAGGCTCCAAGGCTCCACTGCTGGGATTGCGAACCAACGCTCGTTTGAGCTAAAAAAGGCGAAAGAAATTGTGATTGCATCTAATGTGTCAAAGTGTTGTCTAAAGTTAGATCCTTAGCAATGGCATGCCTTTGCACATTCTATTGCCAAAGCGACTTTTTTTTGTACAGGCTGATGACCTTGACATATCTTTGATTTCATTGGAGGATGCGATTGGTGTAGTCTTGGCCCACTTGCATTGTGTGCTCTTAAACGAAATTGTTTACAGAAGTCAGTGCAGAGCCTCTTGTAATGCATACTACGGATAAAGGCTTTACTAATTAATGTCATTGTTTAAATGGCGGATCTTCTTGGTGTCCACGGAATCCAAAACGAGCTTAGGGGTAAAAGTGGGGATACGAAGAGACAAATTTTACCATCTTTCGACGATGTCATAGTTAGAAATAAACGAAATACGAAGTTTTAAGCGGTCCAATCCTCCCTCTGTCTTGACTACTTTAGGGGGGACAAAAAAGGACTTTTATGAAAAAATAGGGACCTTATTTTAAAAGGCAAACTTATGACCTTACAGCATCCAACCCTAAGTTCAGTAAATAAGTCGGAAAGGCGTCCTCTACGCACTCAGTAGGATGATGGCGTAAAAAGGAGTGAAAAAAAAAACAGTTGTTTAGGTCATCTATCAAGCCACAGCCCATCATGCTACTGACAATCACTGAGAATGTCCACTTCTTCTATCTCATGCTTCCCTATATTGCTCAATTAGCAACAACTTTAGATGCAGAACTTCAAGTCTACGTTATTCATGACATTTGAAAAAAAAAATGCAAGACAGTCATTGCCTCCAGAAGTGGAATTCACGTGGTATCCAAAAAAAGCAGAGAAAGCACATTTTACATGCACAAAGCACAGCCAACTGCTTTCAAGCCCTGAATGAGGAGGACTCTGTGGAAGGGGGGCGAAACTACTTCCACCCAAAAGCTCACCCCAGGCTTGGCAAGTTCAATGATTTGATCAACTTCATTCTGAGTCACAAAATCGTGCCACAGTAGTATGGGTGGTTCCAACTGCATCACCTCCTCCTTCAATGGACTCAGTTGAAAGAAGGGATGCGGTGTGGAGTAGTGACAACTGAGATAATGATCCGGCGGTAATTCCATGTCCGCCCTCCTACACAAATTGCCAAATATGGCAGCCTCCGAATCCTCAGCTCTTGGACCTAAGGCATAAGACGGCAAAAAAACAACAGTAAACAATGAAAGGCTGACCGAAAGTACTTTGGTGAAAGAAAAAAAAACAAGTACACTTTCACCTACTTTCATCATCAGTGTGTGGTGGATCTTCACCGTTGTAGCGTTTCAATTCCATTTCATAAAATGCCTTGCTTAGTGCCCCATTTTGTGAAGTGGGATCTAAAATGGAAATAGAAATAACACAGTGACATGCCTCGGTTTGCCAAACCTCATGACCAAAGTCCCAGCATTATGAAGCCAATGAAAGGGAGAGCATTTACGCCGAACCGTTGTCGGTGGATCTTCAGGTATGGACATTGAGGCCTAGGCGTTGGACATTTTGATGTGAGAAAGTAAAGCCTACAACTCCACTGACAAAAGTGATGGACAGTGGTCAGGTGCTTTGGTAAAAGGTCTACAGGAAGAATGTGTTTTCTCACGCCTACAAACCTTTGAAAGCGGGGGAGGGGAGGTGGGAGGAGGAGAGGAGGGGGGATAAAATGCGAGACCTCTGAGTAGAGACAGTGCATGCGCATTGTTTTAAACTCGCCTTTCATGAGAAGTTTGTTGGTCACTTCCAGCGCCTCCTTATATCTGCCAGCCTGAGGAGGAAAGGAAAAAGAAAGGCAATTCCCTCTTAGACCTGGAATGACATTTGACGTAATTTTTGGTTAATGTCACATAAAACATTTTTACCTACCCTCCCAAGTGCGTAGGAGAGGTGGTCGTACACCATGACGTGGGTGATTGAACTCTCCGTAGTGTTGGGCGAATTCTTGGCCTGCTGGTCAAGGCGATCCAGTACTAGTCGGTACCATTCCACAGCACAACCATAATCGCCAAACTCGTAGGCAAAGATTCCCAGACGCATGCACTGCAAGTCTGTGCAGAACAACATTACATTACGCTACACCTTTCCTCACTGTCAAGTCTTTTATTTGCCCCCATTTCCCACATTGTAGTTGGGCAAAAAAGTAACCATTTATACAAGTAATTGCAGAAAAAAAAGTCTCCATTCTTAACTGTGTCAGTGAGGTATGGAGACCTGTTTAAAAAAAACAACTACGTCCAGAGTTTGAACCACTTTTATCTCTTGTCTTAAGCACTTCTACAATTGTTTATCCACAGTCTATAATTTTTCGTGTTTGTACAGTTACCGTCGTACAAACTGCCTATTTGTACTGAAAGGAAGAAAACAAAACCAGTCAACTGCCAAGGCGTTTGCAGGTTTATGACCCACACTCGGTTGGTAAGCAGTTAATCATAACGCCTCTGTCCTTGCTCCCCACTCGAATTCCCCTCCTCTCCAACACTCTCGTCCACCACTAAACGGCACAGCCACGTCGTGAGTGCGCCGCACCCCACTGCAGCTGAATTTAAAATAAGTACAACGCACAACTAATAAATAAAAACAAAACGTGTATTTGTATTTGTACTTTGTTTTAATCACTCGAAAATGTAAATTTGTGGCTACTTAAAGATGGGGTTTGTAATTGACACCACATCTGTATGAAAATTTGCTTCACTTCTTTTCTTACTCCACTGTGTAGAGAAAATTTTAAACAAAACATTGTTTACTTAAAGAGACAGAGTGTTTTAAGAAAAGTCCAACCTTTCGAACTTTAATACTTCTTAGTCTTTGTTAAAATTATTCCCAATTGAACAGTTTGAAGTCCTTTTAATAGTACAAGGAAAAAGGACGAATTTTAAAGCTTCAAACAGTTTTCTAATAAGCTACAAAGTTCACCTGTAAGTTGAGGTGATGGTGACGAGGACAGAATGCGTCCCTCCGCAATATCAGCTGCTGGTATTTTGTAGGTCTGCTGAAGTCGGATGATGGCATTCAGTGCCCCAAGTACGTCGTTGTCATCTGGAAGCATGTCGGCGTACCACTTAAGTCGCAAATACAGCCCCATTTTCGAATCAAACTCCTGAAAAGCAGCTATCGGAGTTTTTCCGCTCCGTTCACTCACGTCATAGGTGGAGTTGGCATTCTGCAAACCGAAGAGATTGGAGAGCTCACTGGTCCAGTTTGAGGCGAGTTGAAGTATGGTAAGAAAGGCTGAGACTGGATTGGATATAACCTCCTGGGAGGCAGAAGCTGACGAAGGGCCAGACGAAGAGGGAGACACGAGATGCTTTTGCTCCAGAGGAGAGTGGATCTGCACGGCACTCTCCAAACGCTTGATCAAGAGCCGAAGTTTGGATAACCGGATCTCCTCTACGTTGACATAGGTGGTTAGCTCGGATGCAAGTTGTCGACCTGCAGTAACAGCTTGATCAATGTCTGTAAGCGCAGAGACAATGTCAGGGGAGGTAGTGGCTTCACAGAATGGAACGATCAAGTGTAAAAGATAAAGAAATAGCACAATAAAGGAAGTTGCATTCTTGGATGTCATCATGTCCACAGGTTCTCCTGGGTAAATGCAAATGTGTGGGTGTGTGTGTGTGTGTGCGGATGACGAGTGGTGGGTTGGGAAGCTCCCCTACAGATGACCAATCACAATGTCGAGCGAATCATGACGTAGAAATTTCGATAAATTTATTTTTAATGGGAGAAAAAGTGCTAACTCGGAGGCGTCCATTGCCTAGACGTTTGTACATCTGTAATTAAACATTAAGTTCCGAATATTTGAAGCCTAATTAAGTGATTACATTGCTATGGCCATTAAGTGCCGTAAACATGGCTCTTGAAATTTCGAGCTCTCGCACTAACGGCCGAAACGAAGTAGTAAAAGCTAATGAAATCAGCGGACTATCCTCTCGAAGACGAGAAAAGTTGCTTACGATGCCTAATTCCCATCGCACCAAAATTATTGGATGGACTTTTGAATATCAAATTGGAAGTCGAATAAAAGTGGCTATAAAAAGTGAGTTCTTCTTTGGAGAGAACACTACCTAACCACGCATATAATGAAGCTGGAAGTTGGGACGACATAATCCTCAAATGTTCGATTTTAATTAGGGAAACGAGACTCGATTGCTTGCACTATCTTACTTCCAGACAAGTAAATGGAATTCACCCGACTTCTAAGCCAAATTTTGTTTAAGATTATGTCATACAATCACATGGAATTTCTTCGCCTATCAAGAATGCGGAATTTGCATGTTTCGTGGAGGTAATTTGTTAAAATAACTTTTGACAACGTCATAAATTAACCGGACAGCTTCGACGTTTTTAACAGCACATGTTCCATAAAATCGCATGTATTCATCACTATGGGGATTTCAGTGGCAAGCTATACGGCATTTTTTAGTTATTTCGACAAAACGCATTTCATAGGTGAAAAAAGTCAAACGGACGTTAATATAATAAGATAAATCAGTTAAACCTCTTTATTGCCTAAGGTGAAGCATATAATACCACAAACGTCGGAATAACTATATTACGTAAAAATACCAAAGCCTCAAGGGCAGTGGAACGAAACCAACAACAAACTTCATGCATAACTGAATCTATAGATCTAGTGAATAACGGTTAGTTCAACGCAAAATAATGGTTAAGAGGACCGTAGCAGTTCATGTGGATGAAGTCTGATCGCTATCCCATGTAGAAGTTGATAGCAAGTAGCCCAAACAACTTTTCTTTTTCTTCGGTAAAGTTATATTTAGACGTTTCTTTTTTTGGCCAATAAATATTGTAAATAAGCGCTGTGGTTTCGTAAAAATTGGTAGATCTTGTGAAATGGATAGCTCAACTTTTTTCAATTTGTTTATTCGGCTGCCCTTGTGCATGGCGGTTGTATTGAATGTGCTGTTGAGGTGGGCATTAACGCATACTAAGTCTCCGTTACTTCAACTTCTGTTTGAATGCAAGTCTAATATATACTAGTTTGTTTAAGTGTACTTTTATAGGTGAGAGGCAGGAACCCATTGGGAACGTAAATCATGTGCGTAAAGCTGGCGCGGAGCCTCCATCGGATTGATGTCTCCCACTCACCTCACCTGTGTCCCATTCCTTATCCTTCCTAATAGCAATGCCTAGTAAATCATCTGCGGCCAAAATCCTCTTGAAGTCTGAGAATCGGGCACCGGAGGGAGACAGGCAGCTCCTACAGCAAGTGCGAACGAATATTCGAGCTCTCAAGACTCCGCAATTACAATAAAAGGAGCGTAAAAACAAATTTGATGCTTAAGCTTCGACCAAAATATTCGTAGTGGAGTATGCTCTAAGCAAACTCAGAGTTCCAATTCTCATACAAATTGCCAAATTTAAGTTGAAAAGGTTAATTTTGCCGCGAAATAAAATGGGCTAATGAGGTTGTTCCGTTTTCTTGTATGATCATGAGTACCATGCATTTACGCTATTCACAAACTAACCAAAAACATATTATGGCTTACCGTGGGAAAGCGATATAAGTTGATTTGACGAATAAGCATAATTTATCTGCCAAATTTTTGAGCCAAAACAGCCTTATGAGCTAAGTTTGTTGTTAGTTTTAACTCGCTAATTCTTCCTCGTATTTCGAGATGCGTCAGTACGAATACCCGTAAGGTGTCGCAGCATGAGTTGCCAAGATTCTGCTTTATTTCTGTGTTTAGGTACTCTTTTAGAGAATTGAAAAGTGACATACTTTTTTAATCTATTGTGGTGAAATATGGATATGTCGTTGCCACCGCAGTTATGTTATTGCAAATCTTTTGCATAAAGATGAAAGACATGTGTTTTAAGGCTGCCATAGGTTGTGAAATCCGCGTTCATCCTTCACTTTAGATCGATTTTTTTAAAGGGTATATTATTTTCAGGAAAAAGGAGACGTCAGCTTCCTAATTTTAAAGCTACGGCATGGTCTATGGATCAATGGGTCACTTTTTGCGCAAACTGAAAAGAAAAAAAAGTGGTGATAGAGCTGCTGAGGGTGGCTACGTTCCTCCAAAGCCTGCTCATCCTTGGCAACGGCGAAGACGGCAAGAAGAAAAGTTGGATAACGAAAAGAAGGAGCAAGTTACACTAACAAAAATCAATCCCTGGTTCCAGTTGTGCTCCAATCTTCAAAATCAGACGGCTATGGCGCTGTTTTCCTTCTCTGGAGATATCCAGAATGGAGAGCTAGAGGCCTTGGAGGGTGACTCTCTCACGATTGAATCAGTTGATCGATCAGATGTTTGGTGGCAAGCTGTCAACAAGAGAACGGGAAAATCTGGTTTCATCCCATATAACTATGTTACGGAGGAGATCGGTGTAAAGGATGTTATTGATGCCTGGCAGGAAACTGATCGTCGAGAAAGTGAGGCTAAACTGAGTATGCCAGGTCTCTCGAATGGTACCTATATACTTCGCCCTAGTTCCAGTAAGTTTGTCGTTGTGCTCGAGTGCAATTTCTTATCATATATGCGCACATAACATCATGTTTCTTGCAGTAATCAAAAGCAAATATTGTTCGAAATACAACAATGTAAACTACAAAGAGGCTAGATGGTTCATGTTTTAAGAACATTAATTTGTCTTGGTGGGTGATATTATTTTTAATCTTGGTGCTTACAGTTGTCTTGTTTCCTTGGTCAAGATGTAAACCTTGATAGTTTGAAAGTTGACCAATTTATGGGGATTTCTGTCTTGTATTTGCAACCTAGTGTTAAATCTTTAGTTTGAAGCATGCGATAGCAATTTCATTTGACAGATTATTCTTAGATACTTTATTGGTATACATCATTTTGTGAAAATCTTATCCATTTTAGACTGCGCTATCTTTCTAGTCTATGAATCATACTATGTAGTACCAACATTTCTGCTGTGGACGATTAGCATTTCGGAAAAGTTGTATTTATGTCACTTCTTGCTTCTCATGTGTGCAAATGGATTTAGTTTAAGGGAGCTTTAAAGGGTGTCAAAAAGTGCGCCCAGGACTATGCAAACCATGAAGTAGTGAATCTTCATATCGCTGATTTTGGATAGTCGTTCTTTAACAAATTAACCATTTGTGTTAATGAAACATCATAGCCTTATTAAAGTTGAGGATGGATCGTCCATGACTAAATTGCTTGAATAACACGAATTTCCCATTAATTGTACTTGTTCCATGTTCACCTCTCTAAGCATTGTCTTCTGGCAAATGTTGGTATTGCTTAAAGTGTGCACTTATTTCTAGACTTCAGTAAAAGAAGCAGTACTTTTGTCGAGCTTCATCTTCACGTGGCCATCTAGTCAGATGGACTGGAGCATATCAACTGTCCTATTGCCTTTACCTTAAAAGTCCGTTTTACTCATGTTTCCTTTGATCCGTAGCTAAATGGTATCGTCAAGAGTACGGTTCGATTTCCACTTCACCGTGCTATACTTTGTGGAGTGATATGACCACCACAGGTCTGTCAAATGCTAATATTAATTGCCTCGTGACTTGAAAAAATTCCTTGAAATTCGCATAGAAATGTGCGACTGCTGCGCAATCATTTGCAGTTTGTATGAGCGTAAGCCTCTGGCAGTATATCACCAATTCCATATTGACTATCATTTGGAATATCAAATGGAACCTGTGGACTTACGCCCTCAAATCTTTTTAATTTCTTTCTAAGATCCTCTTCGAATCGCTCTATCAGTCCTCTGCCTAGTCGGCACTACGAAAATTATCAAACACTTTAGTGTCAGATATGACCAAACCCTCAGCGGTTACTCCATTACTCCGGGAAAAAAATTTGCCCACCTTAAAGATCTCACAGATTATTACAAAGGTGAGTGGTGCTGTGCTCCCTCGAGAGCATTTTTCAATTCAAGGTAGCTCCACTACTTTGGAGCAAATGCAATTGAATCGTTCACGTCTTAGCTCACTCTCTTAGTATGCATTGAACCCTAAGGGCGACTGCATTTTTACATTATTTTACCAGCTTGAAGAATTTTTCTGAGAATATTACCTGCTGTTAGGTGAAGGTAGGCGTTTACTCAATTAGTGCTGTCTTTTCTCATGCCTTTGTTAAGCACTTAAATTTGGTTTCATTTTGGTATTACTTTCATCCGAAAACGATCTGCATCAACCACGATTTAATTCTCATCATTTAGCGGTTCATAAGTTGGTGAATTTTTAAGTATTTTGGTTCATAATTACATAAGAAATTTAATAATAGTGCTTAGTAGACTTGGAAAGCAGATTTATGCAATAAATTCTATAACTTCGTTCATGCTAATTATTTTCATTGCATTTTGGCTTCGTTGAATCCGTTTGCTTGCTTCTAATCCATTTGTAATAAAAATTTGGGTCACGAAACGAAATTTTCGGTCGTTATTGAAAATTGGTCCCAATAGAGAAACTGTGACCCCAACTTATGAACAAGTATTGATAAAAGTAGTGAGAATGCATTTTCAGAGAGAAGCAGTGATAAACTGGGATCTATCGATGGGATGGCAGAGATTCGGATGACTTCTAGCCAATAAGCAGTAAACTTCTCAACCCCCGTAAATTAGTTCATTGACTTTAGACATTCCAGCTTGCAGCATTCCTCTGTGGTATTCAAACGCTTGTCAAATCTGCCTCCCTATCTGCAGTGTTAATCGCCTTCATCACGTACACCTCTTTTCCTTAAATTCTGATGCCCCTTTTTTCATGTTTAGGTATTCTGACAGCATATTAGTAATGCTTGAAGTCGGATTTACTAAAATCATTGTTCTTTGCCAATTTTCATCTCTCCCGTTTCCTCACTCGAAGATTATCAATGCTCATTCTGATGAAGGCACCCATGCCTAATGTCACCCATTTTTCTGTACTTTTCACCCTCCTTTTGCCTAGCAGATCATCTCGTTAACTAGCCTCCCAGCAATATTATTCAATGTTGAAACCTTTTTTTTTTTGGAAACACCTCTTTTGTTGACACCTGCATTGTTAAGTCTTCAGTAGGCTGCCACCGACTTTGCCTTTTCATGGCCTTCATTTTATAGCGGTGAATGTGCTTCATTGGTGTCATTTTGACAGATGGCGGCATTGGTGGAATTACAAGAACTGAACTCATTTTCGTGTCCGAGCTCAATAGTTATCATCTTCCATGTTACTTAACCCGATGTGTTTCCAAATTTCTTTTATTTTTTCAGTCTCTCACAATGGAAATGCTCCACTTCTCTCCTCGTCAATGCCTCATAGTCCGCCAGTGATTCAGTCGCGATCTTCTCGAATTCCCCTAGAGAAGGTGGAGCTAAAGACACACATTGCCCGTGGTGGGCGTTTTGGTTCGGTCTACAAAGCCGTTTATACTGTCTCTGGGAAGCAAAATGTGGTAGCAAAAAAGATTTCAAGCCACATAGGCAGAGACGCAATTGTCGCTAGGGCTGAGGCCTGCCATAAACTTCAAAATCGTGCTATCGTCCACTTCCTCGGCTTCTGCGAGGCTCCCAAATCCGGACTTATGCTGCTTCTTTGGGAGTACATGCCTGGTGGTAATTTGAGAGACTTCTTGATCCAGAACAAGACCACTACTGACTACACAAGACTACAGCACTGGCTTCACCAGGCAATACAATATTTCTGTTTTATAAACTTTGCATTCCCTCATTTAGCTAAAGCATAGCATCCACTGATTGATGTACACGCATTTATTCTTATGTTATTTCATTAGTTGTTTTATCCACTCGCATCTTACTGAGTTTGAATGCATGGCACCTTTATGTGCACCCACAATTTGTAGCGAGATTCGTTGTGGCAGTGTAGGCACAGTCTTTGGAACATCTCATCTACCACTGACACCAATCAAAACTTGCAACATCCACTTATCAAGGCGGTATCGGAGAAATACTGTAGTGTCTTGGCGGGAGGCTTCATTAATGACACACCCACCTACTCATTACGTAAATCATGTCAGCCTCCTGAACGGACTCCCTTAAATTGAGTTTGAGCTTCTGTTGAAGGCGTGCTGACGTTTGTGCAAAAATCGAATTGAATAAAGCGACAGTTCTGTTGCCCGTGAAGTTATTGTATTTCGCTTAACTTTCTCCCGCTTGGGAAGCCAGATTGCCATTGCATCGTTCCAGATTCCATTCATTCATGCACTCCATTTGTGTAGACGCCTCGAAATGGCTTTATGGCACAAATTTCCTTGTCACTGTTGCATTCCCAAGGGTAGTTTATAACATACTTTGATGAAAAGCAGTAATACGGCTTTACTGGGCTGCTGTTGGGTTCGACTCCATTATTGTCGCTAGGTGATCAAGTTATCTACCTCGGTTGTTAAGTACATCACACCTCGCATAACAAGTCACGCTTATGATAAGATAGGCGTTTTGGGCCTCTTTTTCTTATCACAATTTCGTTATTCACAAACACCTCCTTCCTTCCTAAATATGACGGTGGAGAACAAAAGTTGCTAGTGTCTTTTTTTGAAGCTTCTGCACTCTATTGTTGGCGAAACGTTTTGGCTACCCACTTACTTTGCTGAATGCATGAATGAAGGAGAGCAGTTTGTGCTTTATGCTTCGACTTTGACCTTAAAGAAAGGTGGTTGGCATCTCAATGGAAGGAAGCGCTGTACAAGTTTTCTCATTGCATTGATGCCATTTTGCACCTTTTAGTGGGTGTTTTGGACATCTTGTTGACGAATTTTGTGTGCTTTAGTGTGTTAACAAACAATGAATGTTAAGAATTAACAAATTCATCATCCCGTAGTTGAATGTGCTTTCAAATCCTGTATTTTTAGATTTTGGATGGAATGGACTACCTCGAGAGCGTGGAAACGTTTCACGGTGAATTGACTACCTCCAATGTCTTTCTTTCCTCTGAACTCTGTGCCAAGATAGGAAACTTCGGCTTTAATGGGCGATTTAGTGAATCCCGTAGTAACGCTCTCGGTGAGTTCTTTGTCTCCTTGTGGAACATTATGTCCCCTCTGCATAGCGACTCTCTTTTTGGGAGTTGAAAGCTCACAATTTTCGTCAACTGTATTCCCACACTTAGAGTGACATTTGCTTTGTCATTTTTCGCCAGGCTACTCACTTACAATTGTGGCTGTTTTATGCCACTGTGATTGATTTCACAGCGTCAAACGAATTGAAATAGCCCAAGTTTATCTCAAGACTCACATACTCACTCCACTTATCTTCGTCATTTCATCGCCGCCTCTCTTGATAGCAGATCACAGGCGACAGCCGCATTAGGGACTGTACTTATGATGCCTTAACTTGGAAGCATTTTGAATGGCATGTTTGCAGACTGTATTCCCACTTTGTCCTTTGAGTGCGTCTTTGATTATGCAATTTCCTTAAAACCACAGCTTGATAATAAAACAGGTCATAGGCGTCACTCCAACGTCCTCCATTCACACCGAGACCACACATTCCTTGTTTACGAATGTATCTTTTTTTTGTTTTGAAATCACATTTAAATTTGACCCTAACGTCCTAATTGGGTATTGTGAGAGACGTCTTACGGATTTCCATATTGCCTATTTAAATACCACAAGGCCTTGTGAAACAATTCGCAACAAACTTTTGACTGGTCCATTTCCACGTTAATAAGTTTGTTAGCAAAGGAACCGGCTCATTTAAACGTCTCATCAATAGCCTTTTCTCAGGTCTTCTTTTTTTTTGCAATCAGTAAAGGAGCACGTAGAGAGGTTACAATCGTTTCCCACAAATGTGCATGCTCGTTTTCGGTTGCTCGGCCCAGCAGTGTGCGCATAATGTTTCGAATGTAATGTATTCATCTCCTCAATTCACCTTGGGGTAATTTTTTTTGTTATTACTCTTTTTTTTTCTCTTCAACGTCCCCTCTCCTCCCCCAATGTGACACCTGGTTCCCTTTAAGCCACTTTGCACAGTCATTCTCGCCATGAGGGTTGGTAGTACTGTGGTGTAAATTGATTGCTGCATTTTAATGGAGGACTTTGGGCTTATGTTGACCAAAATTGCATGCTAAAATGACACACTCTCCTAAAAGTCATTCACTGTAAAGCAGCAGCACAATTATCACAGCTGTGTTTTGAGTTTTGGTCAACTGCACCATTCCCATTTGTTTGGGGATTTGCAAATACACTTGTCGTATGACATGTCTACCATACATCACCTTCTAGGTGAGGCATATTTTATACCACTTTTTATTGACACACGAACAGATTTCTGTGTAGGTGTGGTTGTGTTGAAAGGGAAGCACTGACAAGTGTGGCTCATCTTCCTCTTCGTGGCAGTAAGATTGTTAAATGTCACTGTGACACTAAAATTTCCTTCACATTTTGCTTTCATTTTTACAACACTCAATTTGAATGGTGTGAGGAAAACTACTGCTTGTAGCTCTTCACACCTATTTGCCCTCGTTGCATCGTGCGTGTGTACCGTTGGTGATCCAACAAGTTTGCCTGATTGTGTGTGGGTATACGGTGGAGTAATAGTGCCCTTGTGTAAAAGTTCACCTGAGATAAATGACCTAAGTGGGCGAGGGCTCAGTAGATGAGTCACATGGATGGAAATTTATTGCCTACCTCTTTTCTGCATGAAGAACGGTACTGAAACTGTAGTGAAAGGTGGATAGGACCCCTTTTGATGAACATTTAAATGAAAAAGTGTGTGTGTGTGCATGAGCATGATAAAAAAATAATTTCATTATGCCAAAGGTCAGCTTATTACCCGAGTTTAGGTCAGATTATGACATGTGAAAGCAGTTAAAGAAGCCGGTGTAGTTCATACGACTAGATTTTTAACCTAATTCATTCCTCTGTTAAAACCCCAATTTGTGTCATGATTCAGTACTCAACTTGAAGTATGCATTGTTGTAAGAGGGATTATAAACAAGCAGATCTTAGAACCCTGTCAACACCCTTCGATTGGCCATACTTCCCCCTTTGTGTCCTTCTTTCCCAACTTAAGTCTAGGTTGTTTAAACTTGTTTACTGTCAATGACGTAGATGTCAAAATCAACACGCTGTTGTGAAAGCACTACAGACCAAAACCAATGCCAACGCCATTATTAATGTGGTCAAATTTGTTTCCCCTACTTCTCACCTGTCACTTGAGGGGTAGTGATGATGATGAGGATCAGTTGTGCTACCTTTATTGCCTTCTTAATAGACGACGCGAAAGAGATGAGGAGGTAACCAGATACGATGATTTGAAATGTCACAGTCAATGTGAAGCGACAGCACCTGATATTAACTCACTAAGGAGATTACCTTTCAAAAAAAAAAGAACTTTTGAATGATATTGATGAGTATTTTTTGTAAGGCACGACTAATTCCCTCCAATTTGTCGCCCAATTTACTTGAGATTGTTGAGGGTGACAAATGGGGGTGAGTGTGTACCATTTTGCAGACTAATTAATAGGACCTTTACGCCCGGTTTTGATCAAATTTGAACACCTTAAGTGGACAACTTGAATGCTGCATCGTGTTTGCACACGTAATTGCAAAGTGGAGGAGATTTAAGTTACCTTTTTGTGTTTGTTAAATAATTTAAATAACTGAAAAGAACTGATCATATTAATGCATTTTTACAAGAGAAGACTCATAGATGAGGCTGAAAGTGGGTTGGCGGAGATGTTGTAGGGGCAAAAGAAACGAGTACTTCTTCTCACTTTTCGGATCATTCATTCTGTTTCTGGACCATGCCAAGGCTAGTAACTCGGTTAGGTAGGCTTTGTGGACCCTTGTTAGAGTTTCATTACCTTTGCAATTTGATTAACGAAAAGTCTCAGCCTCTAATAACGGCACTGCGGTTCTTGTGATTGCAATGAAGGCATTTTCAATCCCATAATTTTGATGCATTTCGGTATTACTTTAAGTGTGTTTTCTTTGCTACACAAGGAAATGAAAGTGGATTTTCATAAAGTGACTTCATCAATCCCATTCAAGCAGTGTGGTGATTTTACTTTGAAAATCGGCCTTTTATCCCCTCACTCATTTGCATTTGCCAACGTGGTGGTTGAGATTAAGGAGATTAGTGCTATTGAGAGCAGCATTTTGCGTAAAGAGATGAAAAGAAAAGGAGGCAAAAAAATTGACTTAACTGTGGTATACCATGCATGTTGGATGTGGTCACCTTCCGCATTATCGTCCTTCCTGTCTTCTCCCAGTTCAGCCATTCCCACCTATAATAGTAGGGGCTAGAAAATTTTGTAAATTCATTAAGTCGTCTACCCAATTTCCCATTACTTGACTATCTGATTGGTTGGAGGCATACCTGGCCATTTCGAAGGATCCAAAATTTCGGTCGGACATTGGGGCATCGTTTACCTACAACTGCTCGATATGGAATCTTGTGATTGTTGTTTTTTTTTGATTACATTACTGATGGTCTCGAACTGACAAGTATTAGGGCATCTTGATCCAGGGAAGGGTAACTTCTTGAGCTTGAAGGTGTGATGGCTAAATGGAAAGTCATTACCTAGCAAGTGGTGACCTCTTTGCATCCCACTTTGCTTTCATGTGTTCCATTTTAGTCAAACAGACGGGATAATGTTGAGTATGCCTTACTGATTGTTGTCTAGATTTTGTGATGACACAAGCTGTGAGGTGGGCGGCACCGGAATCGCTGGATACCTCTCACTTTTACGACATTCGTTGCGACGTCTGGTCTTTTGGAATCGTCATGTTCGAGGTCTTCACATTTGGCTTAACGCCCTATAAAGGTAGGCTTCTTCTAAAAATGTACACTTTTATGTTTCTCTTATTCAATGGCCTATCATTACATTGAGAACATAGGGTTTAGTCATTATAGAGGACCTCAAGCTGGATCACTGTGCCTAACAGCACTTCAGCTTAGATGTCAGTGGAGTGTTGATGCTGTGCAGAGTAGTGGTTGGCGTCCCACTATCACTTTTTTTTCCTGCGGACTATCGGCACTCACATGCGCTGCCCACCACCCTATTCCACCCCAAAATTTAAGAGAGTAGAAGACGAAAATAGCTCGACCATGTTGAATGCTGTTTAACTTATGCTTACTGACTGCTCAGTAAAATCTGTATTCTCCTTTTCCGTCAGATTCACTTACAACTAATTCCTGATTGTATCTTTTTTGGGGAATCCACTCATCAAATCTTTCTCAGAGTAACAAGTGCTGCTTGACACCTGATTACGGAAAATCTTAATTATTAACCTTATTAACTCACAGCGCAGAAATCGTTTCGATTGCACATCATTGTTGCTGTCCCCGTATGCGATCATGACGCTCGGTATGGAATGCATAATTTTAGGGTATATGACCTGCTACCTTCATTGTTACGGCTTTTAGTCTTTTGGTTAGCATAGTAGTGCAATGTCATCAATTCCTTAATGCCGTGTCTTGTCTAATGATAATTTTTCTACTTGCAAACTTTCTAGAGTGAACTCTTAGGAATGAGTCACCCTCTTACTGTTTTGAGGTATGGATGAGGACACGCATAGCTCGTCTGTATTGATAGACCATTAATGAGGTTACATCCTCATGCGTGAACCTTGTGATTGCTGATGTCTGAACCGAAATCTAGGTATGTAAAAGGCATAGATATATAATTAATTTTTGGCGCACACATTACATTACATTGAGAAAGTCATTCTCAAGCACATGTGCTATCGTAGGCCAATTTTTGAGCGCATATCGTCTGTTATGCCTTTGTAGATATGGATGTGGAGGAGGTTGTTGACCGAGTGAGGGCGGGTTACCGGTTGCCGAATCCATCCAGTCTGGGATTCTACTGCGAAGATGTGATGTACGAGACGATGAGGAATTGTTGGTATGCCGATTCCACTGATCGCCCCACTTTTCACGAGCTCTGGTTTGTCTTCGAGGATCATTTGGTGAAGGATGGTGGTGCGTACGCGGAGCTCAAATCAGCACCATCCACATACGATCCACCTTATTTTTGACAAAGATCCCGTTTTTAATAAAAAACCCAAGTGCTTTCAACAGGTTTTTTGGTGGTGGTCTTTGTGTTGTTACCGGGAGCTATGACGGTCGAGTGTGGGACTTGACCTCTAACCACTCCCTACTTGCTGGGAGCATCACCTAAGCAATGGATTCTGTCATCGTTGACTGTGGAGATGCAGCTGTCGCGGCGATATTGTAATGCTTTGTTTATATGACTAACTGGCGTTTGGCCGTCACCAGGATTTGTCTGACCCTTGTACCCGTGGGCTAGCCTTCGGGCCATGCTCAGACCCTTTTGCTCTGTTTTCTTCAAAATGCATGTGTCAAGCATCATATACTGCCTTCTTCCACCCTATGGAAAGTCTCGAGACGTTAAAATATCAGATGGGTTAGTGGTCCAGTCATTAGTGACCTTACGTTTACCGAATTGTGGGTTCAGCATTTACCCATTTTCATCCACATTTGCTTAGAAGTTGCCTTAAGATATTACTTAGGTCATAAAAAATTTGAGCAATATGTTTGCCTAAAATGTTTGCGTAACGAATCAAAGATTGTTCAGATAAGGTAAAGTTAAACAAAAAAACCACATTGTAGCATCTGCACTTCATTGTAGCCGGAGCCGAAGTTGAAATACAGGAGTAAATCACTCTCTTTTTACTAACATTATCAATAAATTTTGCTAACCATTGCGATTCTTTTGTTTGTTTTGAACATTAATTTCATTTTATCCAATGCCGAGGTAAATTGAACGAAATGACCTTGGAGGTTGACTAAAAGTTGTGCTGGTGTGCAGCTGGTTGTCATAAGTAGTTCTTAGACTCTATTACTGCTTGAAAGTGACGTGTCGTTAATTATTCTTAATATGCATTTCATTGGCATTTAAACTTTATTTACTCTTTCTCTTAACCCACTTTACCGGATTTCATTGAGATCCTTCTAGCCGATGCAATTTATTTACTATGATGCTATACACTCTTCTTTGTGCGCATCTTGATGACATGTTAATCTAACATGGGAACTTACTCGAATTAGAAACCTAACTTTTAGTGTTATTGACCCTGGGCTGCATTATTTCAAAGGATAGGAGATTCTGTTTTGAAGCTTTTAGGAAACTAATTAAAGCACCTCATTTTCGGTACCGGTAGTATGGTGATTTAGCTGATCGGTTTATCGAACGCGCACATATTCAGCGTACTTCGGTTGTTCGTGTTAGCTGCATGATATGCGGAAGTCAACTATCTATCTCAATGGCTTGGTTGGTCGCGGACAAACGGTCTTTTTTCCCTTCTTTTTCAACTTTGTTTTCATACTCCCGGTTTATGCGTATTCTATAATTGGTAATGCTGTTAAATTCTGTTTTTGTTGATATCCATAATGGTGATGTGTATGGCGCGAATGCTTAGAATATGAAGCGGACCGAAATACGGGGAGGCGTAGCTAAAAAGTATGGTGTGCTTGCAGTGTTTTGACTTCTCCAACTTCTTAATTGGTTTGTTGAAATGACCTCCATGATTTTGTAAGAAAAAAGCCGAGGAAAACAAAATGCACATGGCTGAGGCTATAAGGTAACGGATCAATCTCGAACTTTCCAATTGAACGAGACACTTTCTTAGGCCTATACATAATTTTCCATTCCTCATACCCTATTGATGTAATAACATCAGGTTCGTATTTCCAACCGTTTCCTGATTGCACTTGCCTTATTCTGTCTCATTAAGCTTCGACACAACCTTTAAATGATATATTAAAGTTTTACAGTGTTTTCACATCCAGATCGTTTCTACCTTAGCTTTTTTGACATTTTTTCACCATCCTTAGTAAAGTATATTGTGCATTCCGGTAGACAGTTCCTATGTGGTGCCAACTGTCGTAGCTCAAATGACAACAAGTCAATTGTGGTGTTTTGTAGGCACTGTTGGAACAGTCTCGACAGGATCCCTCTGATCGATGTCCTTTTGACTTTGCAAGTAACTGATTTGATCCACTGATGTGGTTGTTTAGGCCTGCGTCGATTTGATCATTCGATAATGCGAAAATACTAAGAAGCTTGTGACAAATGCCAGCACCTGTGGCGCAAATTACGGACAGTGGGTGTTTGAAAAGGTTGGGTTTTGTGATTGCATCTAGCATAAAAAGCGGTACTTTGAATATGGTAGCAAAACATTCGAACGGGAGACAAGAAAGCATTTTAGTGACTAAGGAGAGCAGAACAGTTTGGAAGTGTTAAAAAAATTTAAACCTCGGCGAATAGGGCCGCTGAATGCACGAGGGTAGCTCATCAGGCCTTGATAGTTCACAATTTAAGTTTGCTTAGCTTAGGTGGACGGGCGAGGAGAACTGTAGGTCGATTAATGGCTCGCATAGTCTCGGGATCGCTTTGGTAACTAGCTGACTCGCTCTGACTGTCAGCAGTGCCAGCACCAGCGCCTTCATCCTCATAGTCATCTTTGTCACTCCTATCCTCGGGCTCTTTGCTTTGTTCCAGCAATGCAGAGGCTACCCCTTCTCCTTCTCCTGGGAGCACTACCTTCAACATTGTCGTGTCACGATTGTCCTTTTTTAATGCCTCCTGAATCGTGTCTTCTTCTCCTTCTGCTTCCATTTCAGCTTCTCCACTTTCACTTCCCGCCAACTTCGGTGTAGCAATACGAATTCGTTTACTAAACCTATCGATTGAGTCATCTCTCAGGTATTCCAGCTTGCTTCCACTAGTCAAGTCCAGTGCGGGTAGTTTCACATGAGCGATCGACCTCAGAACAGCCATGATATTGGCAATGATGTTTCGGTTCTCTGCGTTACGATCATGATACGCGCGCAACATCTCAACGTATAGCTTAGATGGGAGTGTCTCCCATTGTTCCCTACGATACACCTCCGGCTTGTATATCCATGTCTCAGATTCCCCCTCTGCTTCATCTGTTGCTCCCTGCCTCACTGAAGACTGTTTTGGAAATCCACTTGAAGGCGTAGTGGGTTTGAAAATTCCAGTATTGGGAGGAGGCTTCTCCACTATCTGTGGTTTCGGTTTCTCGACACGCGGACAATGTTTCTTGGCAAATTCTTCTAGTTCTCCCATGTTCTCAATTAATGCAAAGAGGATTTTAAAGAGATGTTTCCTCGTCATCTCTTTTCGACGTAAAATCCGACATTGAAAATAATGAATCAAAAATGGATGTGGGACATTATAGAGAAAGTCGGCTATTGCATAATACACATACCCAATGGGGCGAAATTTAGGCTCTACAAATTCATAATTAAGACGGGGGAAGTGAAAATCCAATGTTCTGCCCTTAGAAATCTCCATCTCTGCATGAAAATCCAATGCCTTTCTCATCTGCTCTACATGACTTTCTGTAGGAGCCATAGCAACCGCTATAGCTGTCACCATCGCAGTTATGAGCGTTTCTGCCGCCTTGAGAAGGGAGAAATGGAGCTTTCGGGCCAGAAAAGCGATCGTGAGAGAGGCCTCTTCTACAATCACTGGATTCTCAGCGTTCAGACAGAAAATGAGAGCGTTGTGTAACTGAGTGGTGTGATGCTTTACCCACTCGTCAAAATCTTTTAATCGTCGTGGTGTATTTGCTAGCTCACAGAGTTGTCTCAGGGCTTCGACTCTTTTTACAGTTTCAACTCGTTTACTGATACTAGCAGCGGCTCCCTCATCGATGAAATCACTGATTGCATCAATATTCGTCTCAATAATACTCACGGTTGCCACCTTTCGACACTTAGAAACACATTCTCCAATGCTAGCTAACCTGTTGAGGAAGACGTTGCGTGGAAGTCCCACCACACAAGGTAAGCAGTCCAACACGGAGTGCATTTGCGGCTGCTCTAGACTCAGGCAAAAGTCTCGAAGACCCTCTTTCGAACGCGCCATCGAGCGCTCCTTCGCCTTGAGCATGATATCCAAGGGAATTAGGACATCCCCAGGATTGGCCTGGCCATGCATGATGGGAAGGGCAATAAATCCCGCAAACTCGCAGCCAGTTGTACCGAGTTTTGAAAGAAAATCGATCGAGAAATGCAAGTTGCTCTGTGGAGCCAACTCTTTGACTATTTAAAGGACGAAGAGACAATGCGTTGATGACCCATTCGCCAAAGTTACATACGAATGGTTTGTGCACACTCTAGAAGTAGCCTTAATGACCCTTTTCTCAAGTTACCTCATTTTGATTTCTAACCAAAAATGAATTTTTAAGCCACCAACTATTGACTTGCAAATGTGATAATGAATAATGAGGCAAAAATCAAAGCGACTTCGCGAACGTATCGACAATCGCAAGCATCAGTAAAGTACAAAATATGGTAAAGTGGATCAGACAACTGATTGAAGTGTTTTTAAAATGCACCAAGTTTCAGATAGCAATGTCAAGAAGGTTTGCATCTGACTCGCCAAGTAGCAGAAATCCTGTGGCAGCATCAAACTGACCCAGAGTAGACTTTCGATCGATCCTAACGGAACTCCACACCTTTGTGCTGCATTGTGCTCCCGCCCAAGCTCCACAGACGTCGTCCACCTTCCATATAGGTTTATTGATTTGACCCACACTGAAGCTTGCCCACTTATCCTCTATCGCAATCTTCCACACGCCATCGCTCCTTCCGCTAACACAATGGATAAGATCAAGTTCGATAAAAGACGCACGAAAACCTGGTAAACCGGGGTATGGAGCGTCCCTGAGAATGCTGCGCGGAATGATGAGCTCGCAGGCAGCAGACTCCACTCCGGGTTTGAACAGACTGACCCTCAAAGGTGTGGCATCCTCCTTGCAGTCACGCCAAATCACCAAGAGAGTCAAAAGACCAGCGTCTTGCCAGGTCGGCGTAAACCGGTGGTAATTGCGGAAGATGAGTTCTTTTACGTCGAAACCGAACCCAACCTAACAGTTAGAACAATACCGAAAAGGACTACCAAAGAGGCACCTTGCAAGTATCTGCTCCTTTGGAGTAATTAATATAGTACCTCAAAGTAAAAGAGCTCAGCAGGACTCAAAGTATCTGGAGGGCGAGGTGAGATCCAGGCCTGTGTCGAGGTGTTGTCAAGTCGAAAGAGCACTTCCATAAAGGGTAGACGAAGCACCAATTTAGGAGGGTGGAGTGGACGCAGGGGTAACGTTGAACTGATCACTTCCCTGGGTAGAAAGCCATCCTGATCGAGATGAATGCCCATATGTGTATAGTTCAGTCCACCAAGGACGTCGGTGGCATTGAAGAGAGCGAAAACATCCATCTGCTTTGATGAGAGATCATTTGTGCCGGAAGCCAGTAACTCTACATATACAGCAGCAATCACATTTCAAACTTACCAAAAGCTGGACATTAGTACTGCTAATTGCCATAATAAAAGTCTTATGAATTTCCGGTAAAGTGTTTTTGACACCTCCTTGCCATTTAATTGCATTTCCATTAATTGTGAGCACACTTAAGCAAAGAAAGTTGATATTTTCCTAAGGCGCATTCACCTTAAATAACCCTCAACAAACGTTATTTTGATATAATGTTCCCTAATAAGGAAAAGTAGTCGAAAAATGTTAATATAACTACTGAAGATATACAAATCTCGTAAACTGGTGAAACATTCCTGGCATATCTTGTCAATATGGCCAAAACTACTTCAACTGATTTTCAATTCACGAATTAAGTTAAACCAAATATCTTACCATGACACAAGCGGCGATTTGTTTCAGAAGACTTGGCAAATTCACATGCCACCTTGAGTAAATCATTTATGCCACTTCGCATACATAAAGGTGCCTTCCTTCCATCGAATTCTGAAGAAAAGATTGATTCAAGGTAAAGATCGAGATTTTCGTCAGAAGGTAGATGTCGTCCTAACAAGCGTTTTTCCATGTAGTTCACCATAGCAACGTCGATTGTGGAGTCAAATTTTCTTCCAAAGGCTAATGGACTATCATCAACATTTAGCGCCTCATGCAGTCGAAGAAGAGCTTGTGGACCAGAGAACACGGAGGGTGAGCAGCCACACCAATCGGCTACGGTGGTCTTTTTACAGCTGCAACCTCGTGGACGTTGCCAGTTAGTAAGTCGAAGGTTGGCATTAACGACCTTCTCACAGAAGTGGGAGTTGTAGGCGAGGGTGTGAAAAAAACTCTCCACCGGGAGAATTGCATTCCGAAACCAAATTCGAAGACCTTGTACAAGACTGTCATTGCAAAAAACAGCATAGAAGGCGAAGTCGCGTGGCAGTATCAGCCAGTCCGAACCCCCGTGGATGACTACTCCATCCAACGGAGGACGTGCACCAGCTCGCCACACATAATTCCCACATTGGACAAAGGCATACTGTAAACCCTCGGAGTGGATATATCTAAAGGTCAAAATCATCACTGAATAAGAAAGTAACCCACTTAAATATCTCTTCAGCCGTCTGTTTCACAAATATCCGTCCGCGGTGAGAGTCAAGCAGGCGCACCAATGTTCCAACCGGCCTAAATAGAGAATTAAATTGAAAGACCAAAGCTTACATAACTGGCAGATCAGTTTCGCTAAGATTGATAAAGAAGTCCCACTTCCAATGAGGAAAGTTAGAGAAGAGATCTTCCAAAATAGAGAGCAAGAGATCTAATAAACTGGGCGCACCCCAAATCGGATTTTGGCGGTTGGGAGTTACGTATACATTGTTCGGGAACAACTTGGCTAGACTTTGGCACCGAGAGTATAGATAGTCACTTTTCTAAATCCATGTTGGTTTACGGTAAATAGACGTCGAATCATATAAAAGCTTGTTAAGATAACATACCAAATCAACATGGATGTAGAAGTAGTTAGAAGTGTGATAAAGAAGACGGAACATTCTCTGCACATGTCGCCAACTTCTACCCGTAAGTATAAGGACGTAGACGATTTTCACGCTGTCAAACTCCTCTGAGGAAATCGATGCCAGGCGATCCAGTGGTATGACAGGGGCCACTGCGGCTAAAGTATGTAACAACCGGAGGATATCACTCCCGATTAAGAAAATAATGGGCTTTTAATTTGTAAATTTCTCCCATACAACAGCCAAGGAGCCGAGACACGAGAACACTATGGTACATTAAATGTCTCAGTACCCCATCGATTATATAAAACGATCCACACTACAAGAATAGTAGAGTCGAATGTAATTAAACAAAATTTGTCCCCGGATGGGACCTTCCTAAAGACTCAAAAACAAAACAGCTGAATCAAGAGCTCAAATGCTGCAAATATCGACAGGTTTATGCGAAGAGAAATGATTATGAGCACCAGTGACACAAAAAACGAAAGCAAACTAACTGAAACGGTACCTCAATATACGTGAGGGAATCAAGGATTTATAAATAACTGATTTAATAAGGTGCCAAAAATCAAGTAAATAAATCCGGTGGTTGTCGACTTGTAATAACAAGCACCTTGCAAGAAGAACCACCCAAAACATGAGTTTGCGCAGAATGGTCAGTAAAACGCCTTTGTGATAAAACTCTTGGCAGTAAATATTATGCACATGGATGAAGCCAAGTACAAGGTTCGGATCAAAACTCGTTGGGAAGCGGACAAATTCAATATATGAAAATATGATAGAAAGAAATCCCTTTGCAAGTCATCACTTGACTTATATGGAACACTGAAGTGATCAAAATATGGGCTCCTCTTTCCTAGATAAGGAACTTTGGAATCAAAGCCAAAATTATCCGCACAAATTACATTGTCATGTGTTCAATAACACAATGAAAATCAAAGCAAAACTCACTGAACGAAGAAGCAGAGGGAGGAGAATCAACGGCGCCGATAATGAAGATGTCGATCGCCATTTCACTCCCACAATTCATCACCGAGGGGTCCCCAGGACATGCGACAGTTCCGCATAATGAGGATGGTAGCATGAAGACGGGCAATTGCCGATCGCAGTAGCAAAGAGAGCCCTCCGCTAAGCCAGCAAATGCCAAACCCGCCCATCGACATGTGCGGATACAATGGTTAGGGGAGTTGCGCAGCGTCTCGTTATAAAACACCAATCGAAGGGGCGGCTGTGCTCGCTCGTAGTAGAAACAGCCTATGTAACGGCTCTCCTCATTTAGCACGGCTAAAGAGAAAAAAAACTAAAGAAAACGTATGAGTGGTTGGATCGCAACTTGAACAAATTAGACAAGCAGTTAAAAAGAATAGTACAGAACCGATAAGTATCCGAAATACAAGTAAAAGTGCAAATAACACACAAACCTAATTTGGGGCATAGATTTGGCAGACGCAGAGGTTTAAGAAAAGTACCATTACTGATAAGCTTTGAGATAAGTCTTGAGCAATCTTCACGAGACCAATTGCTTAATTCTGTATATGTCGTGCAGTAGGAAGAATCAGTTACTTTTGCATTGTTTATTTCATGAATCTGTGAATAAAATAGTTATATGCAGTATTTGAAAAAATTACCCACAGAAAATGGAGTAGCAAGAAGGAAAGAATAACAAGGAAGACTAATAGCTTTGTGTTAAAAACTGTGAAGCGGGAACGGATAAACTGCATTGCTCCCGGATTCATTTCACAATCTGGGAAGGCAGTTTAAATAGTTTCACCGAACCGTCTGATTGCCAGTAACAAAGACAGACAACAGGAACTAGGCGGGAACTATGGTGCGAGTCCGAGTAAAAATGAACAGTCAGATGGAATGGATTTGATTTTGCATTATAACCAGCCGAAATGCACAGTGACGTTAAAATGTGGATTCACAAAGGAAGCAAGGCTCACACCTCCCAAGGTGCTAAACAAGGCCAAAGGCAGACAGGACGGCAGACAATGTTCAAGTTTGTGCAAAACTGCAGAAGCCACGAGCAAGTACTCCTTCCATTGGTCAGGATAATTAACCAATTATTCAACAACAGGGTAGGTACTTAAGCGCCCAAAATTTATGGGAAGAAGTGATGGATACGAATAATGTAGTTTAACTCATAAAGTATACTGCTAATTTTATACAACCAACCTCTTGAAACTCCTTCTTTAGCACAAAGAAGCTTCGATTAGCAAAGGAGATCATACGACTCACTTAAATTTCTGATCGCACATTTCTAAAAATTGTTGCTGATTGCGAATTTATTTCAGCCTGTCTCAGACACCATGAATTGTGTTTCTTCAAGTTGCTTCATACAAAAATAATTCTACAGGATAAAGCAGCAGATAGTAATTTCGGAAATATTCCTTGGTCAAATAATAATTTAAAGGAGGTGAAAAATCTGTCATTCAAGTTTGACCTTGAGGTGGACAGATCACTGATCGAGTCGGTCTTTGACCCTCTGTGTGGGGTTCTCTGTTCAGGTCTGTCGTTACGTTTATCAAGCATAATTTTCGAGGATGGAGCCGCCATTCATTATGAAACTGATGGCCTCCTCTGTTTCAATAGCTACGGTCGCGGGATCAATCGTCCGTAGGGTTCTTGCAAGTGGTAAACTTGACATTGTCGACAAAGGTGTCAACGACTTACAGACCCAAGCCGATCGAAGTGCGCAGCACTGCATCGTTTCATCACTGTCGAAAAGGTTCCCAGGCATCTGTATAATCGGTACTTTTCTTTTTGTTTCACTTGTGCGCTATTCTGAGCTGATTAATACGCACTCCGTTTAAGGTTGTACTACTTATTTAGCCCACTTTGAGGTACGTCTTGTATGTCTTGATGTTTTGCTCTGCGATGCTGCCTCCTTTTCCATCTATGTTCCGTTTTAGACCATCTTGTTCACTCTCGTTTTTGTTCCTGTTTTTTCTCTGTTGTTTTAGGTGAGGAGGATTTGGGAGACAGTGAACAACCCTATTCCGAGCTGGTGGAGGGTACCGACTCATCAGTACTAGCCAAAAGTTGTCCACAGACCTTGGAATCTACAAATGTGGATGACGTTGTTGTGTGGGTAGATCCTTTGGATGGTACCAGCGAATTTGCGCAGGTTAGTCTCAGTTTCTCAAGCTACTCTAGCTAGCTTCGTTTCGGTTTTGGGATCTTATATACCACTTCGTGCTGATTCGTCCATTTTACCCATCTACGAAATCTTTTGCGGAACTTTAAGACGACTTTTCACTGAAGTCGCAATGGATAAGGAAAATTATCAGAAAATTGTTCGCTCTAGTTAATCACCATTAATATGCGGAACTCGGCCCTTCTATAAATCCATAATGCTCGTGCATAAAATCTTTTCATCTGTCTGTTATTGTCAATCAGGGTTTTTTGGAGCACGTGACAATTCTTATCGGCGTCTCTGTTCGAGGTCGCGCAGTGGGCGGAGTGGTTTGTCAGCCCTTTTACATGGCTGACTTCCGCAGAGTTATCGAAATTGCTGGGGAGCAGGAACGGCGTCCGCGGGTCGAAGAGACGCATCAACGTGTAATTTGGGGCCTGGAGGGTCTTGGAGTGTTCGGCCTTGCTGGTGAACCGATTGCTAAAGCTCCTATTTTTTCTTCCTCGACCTCTGATGATGAACGTGCCAACTGCATCGTGTGTACTAGATCTCACACAACACCCACCGCTGCGGCTGCCGTTGAATCATGCTCCCCCTCTAAGGTTAGATTGTATTTCATCTGTCTTTGATATGGATTGGGGACAATTAAGACAAATGAAGATAATGTAGGCGGTTGCTTTGCCACTGAAATGGGTAAAATAGATCTTAACGGCTCGTAAACGGAGAAAGTCGCACGATTTTAGTATTCGGAGTAACGCTTAGCGGTGTCCAAATATCAATTTGCTTAGGAATTTTGTTTAATCCCATTGAAGTCTGCGCTACTTTTCTATGGGTGAGTAGGCAAAGGTTTCGCTTAAAGAATGGTAGACAATCATCTGGTAATATTTTCATGATTAACACTGAACTCAGCATATTTCTCACTTCAATATCCTACGTTGAAGCCGGGTCATAGTACCTACTAAATTCAACAGGGTAAGGCTGTAGGACGAAAGGAAGGATGCTTCAATTACGCAGATCGCTAGTAGTGACTGGTCGTGGTGACGGTGAGAACAGTGACGATACTTAACAATGCTGGAGCATTGATATTACCTTCAGACCCACCTCTGAGATCTATTTCTACTAACCCATTCATTGACTGGTTGGTAGTGAATTGTAGTTGTTATTGAAAGACTACATGGGTTACTAGCCTGCTTTAACACGTGTTATGTTTTTTCACTAATTCTTCCTTGATAATGAGTGATTATGAGGGCCATTTCTGGACACAGATCTACCGATTGGGTGGCTGTGGTTTCAAAATGCTGATGTTGTTGGAGGGTGTAGCCCATGCCTACGTCTATGCCAGTGTGGGCTGCAAGAGGTGGGACACGTGTGCTCCCGAGGCCCTGATCAACGCCATCGGTGGCCGAGTGAGTGGTGTCGATGGGCGAGCGTACAGCTACGCAAGCCACGTCCACCCCGTCGACGGTCGCGGTGTTATTGCTACCCCTACTGCGGCTTGGCATTCTGCATACGTCGAACGAATACCCCGCTCAATTGTCAACACTCTCTGTGCCTCCGCTCCCCCTAATGAGTAGTCTTCATCTCGTGCTATAATTTTGGCTTTGTTTTTAAGCTCTCTTGATTGACTGACTTTGATTCCTTTTACGAAAATTACAGTTGTCGATATCTTTGTAGTGAAGTCTCCGTACAACACTTCGGCACCTTTGTATAAAATTTGTTGACAGCAATTTTCTAAGGTAGTCTCTGTGCCTATGAGGTTCTACAGAGGAAAGTATATGAGTCTGAGAGCGAGACCGCATGCAGTGTGCTGTCATGGAAGCCAACCCATGATTTTGCTAATGAGAGATACAACGTTGCTTACCTCATCTGACTACCATCACTAAGGGGCATGACAAACGAAAGCTCACGACTAGAAAGCGACGCTCGACAAATCACCCAAAAATAAACTACCCATGTTCACACAACGCACAGCAACCTTGATTACACAAACCTAAAACGGCTCCCCTCGCTCGTTAGAGCCCCGGACAGCAGCAAGACTAACGATCTCCTTTTGACCACTTCCTGCAAAGTTTGCGCTTTACAGAGGAGATAAACAAAGGAACTAGAAAGCTGTTTCCTACTATTATTAAGATTGAGACAGAAAATAAAAATGACAGTTCTCAGCGGTATTTTACAGGGTTTGCATTCAGCAACGACATGCCATTGTCACTTTCCTTCCTCGATTGACTCCGTAATGAAGGGATGAGTGAGAGCATCGTTCAGCGAAATACGTCTGCTCGGATCAAGCGCTAGCATCCTATCAAGAATGTCCTTGAATTGATGCACTTTCTTCAGTAGTGCTGACGTCAATTGGCTGTCGGATGTAAGGTCACCCAGCAGATCCCTCGTGGGCTGGATGTTTCGAATAACCGTCGTTTTTGGCTGAAACCGAATGGTACGGAATAATAAAGGATCACTCGCGAAACGCAAAGTAAAAGGCTGAAACTGGAAATCACACCTTATGAGTAACCTTGTCGACGTCGTGGTAGAGGAAATTGCATTGTTCATCGAAGTGAGAATGACGTAGTGTACCCCGACGAACCACGCGATTAGGAATACGTCCACGTGTTTCCATTATGAGACGAAGCATCTCGTTATTGGTCTTCCCCGGAAACATAATCCGTCCGGTATAGAGCTCGAACAAAGTCACCGCTGTGGACCACAGATCGACATTGAAATCATAGGGGAGACCCAAAACTGGACGGCGAGATGGCGAAAAGAAGAGAAGCCGTAACGATTAGAAGGATGACAAGAAGTTGATACAAATTAGCAATCGCTCAGATCCTTGTAAGCTTTACACTCAACCTGCAAGGTTTCTCATAGTGGATCATCTGCGATGGCGATAACGCAAAAAAGTAGGCACAAGGACGTGACCAGCGCTTCCACGAAGGCCTAACAAAGACTGCATGACTAAGAGTACTAGGGCATTAAACCTAACTCAGACAACAAAAGCATAAAATGACGCATTGCTAATAATCACACTGAAGCCCGATGGTCATCGGACCAGACTAATGCAAAAAAGTGTTCCAAAGGATTGAGTATGTACAATCCGAGCAGTTCTTACACAGATTTTCGATAAAGATGTCCCACACGTAAACAAATGGTAGATTATGAAGAACTGAACCTAAATGTCAGTTCAGGAACAATGAATTAAGTGTACTCCCGAAGAGCTATGTTCATTTGGACCGGGATCCTCCTACGTACCTCTACCACCTAGCTTGCAATTGAAGGAATCCATATTTTGAGGCACGAACTAAGACAATAAGAGCGGCGGATTTCGCTCTTTTAAGAAACTACCGAATAATTCCAAACTTCAACTTTCGTGTGAATTGAGTCCGTAGGGAATGAGATTCCTATGAGAGGAGAAAGGTAAAAAAGGCAAATATTCAAAAAGGCAAAAGATTAGTATGTTGGCCCATCGCTTTACCATGTGGATACACGAGAAAGCTCAACTCTGTTCGCAGTAGTGCCGGGACAGTAGTGTATGTGGTATCCCGCCGGAGTCAAACTGGTGGATGAGAAGCAAAAACGCAATTAAAAAAAGGATGGGTTGGGGAATCAAAAGAGCAGGAGAGGAGACAACTGAGAGCAGTTAGGGAAACCGTAAGAGGAGTAACTTACTAATTTCAGGTGCACGATAAAAACGCGAGACGAGGTAGGGCGTGGGCTCATTCTCCTGCACCGAGCAGGCGGATCCAAAGTCCGAGAGTTTGAGGGTGATCTTACTCTCATTAACCAGCACGTTGTCCGGTTTGATGTCGGCGTGGAGTATGTTACACTTACGCAAGAGCTTGAGGGCTAGCAACATTTGGTGAGTGTAGGAGCGCACCGCGGCGATGTGGAGACCAACATTTCGACCGTATTTCTTCAACACCTCGCGCAAATTCATGCTCATCGACTCAAACACCATGCAGAGGTGGTTCTTGTGGAAGAAGTGCCGATACAATCGCATACAATGGTACCGGTCTTGAGGGTCCGTGTCATTCAGCTTCTTCAGTACCTCCAACTCCTGCAGACCCGACTTGTGCCTATGTACACGTACACCCATGGACACACACGCAGGGATTAGAAACAATAAACATACGCTGAAATCTCCATCAGGTTGAAATCAACACTTCATCACACTACACATCCAAACTTTATATCAACCATGCAGGTTACTATTTTGTTTTTTGGACTTCCAAGTGTAACTAAATGGAATGCTGTCAGACCATGATTTAAACTTCACCCATCTCTCGCATCAAAGAAGTAAAAACTTCCCAACTTCCTGGAGCATCACACGTATTTGCAATTGAGACGTAAAATTTTCCAGATACATAGGAGCCGACTAATACGACAAAGTGAACAAGCAAAAACAAAGTTACCTACATTAAAACCATAAAGGACGCTCAAAATTAAGCAGAAGGCAAGAAAAAGATTGGCTCACATGACTTCGTTGTTACGAATAATCTTGATGGCCACCTCAAGATTACCACGAGCGCTATCTCGGGCGCGGACGACATTGGAAAATACACCATGACCTGTATACCCGTAAACAGAATAGCGCTTATCCAACACCTCACCGATACGCACACCTATACGCAAAAAAAATAACAGAAATTGAAGAGATACAATCGCAAAAATGACTGTGGAGAACACCAACCTCGCTCGTACTATCAAAAACAGAATACACTTACGGTAGTAACCCTCGGCATCATCCCAGTTGTCCACGAGAGAATGGTTTTCCGACGCCATCGCCCGAGGATCCATGGTTCCAGGTACGCCGTTAGATGGAGCGACTGGCAACTCACCAGAGAATATGTCAATAGCAAATTTTTTCGTAGAAGACTGAGCTGTTTCATTAGTGGAACCCTTATCAGATGACCTAGTTGTGTGGGCAGTATGATCGTGCAGAAAAGCGACTGCCGCAGGAGCCTGAATACCGGACATGCGTCCATTTGGGGAGCCATCGACAGCATCTGAAAGACAGCAGTTAGACTGTTCAAAACAAATTGGAATGGACCCACCAGCAAATAAAGCTGATTCCGACTTCGAAATGGGTTTGGTGATTGATTTCATAAGTTTCTCTTCGGGAAAGGCTTCTAGCATCTCAGATTCTTTGGGCGATAACCCGGGATCAGGGGATGGAGTAGTGGTGCTGAATCTGAGAGACTCCAAAAGCTTTTGCCTCTCCAAACGCCGCCTTTCAATAATGGCTTCCACGTCCTCTTCTGATTCATTAAACTCAACGTCGCTGAAAGCAGCGCATAATCAAATGACTCAATTACCTCTGTTCTGGTGATTTCCTGGAATTCTCATGTCGACCCTTGTGGTCCTTGTGACGATGCTTCTTATGATGCTTTTTATCTTTGGTCTTTCCACTTTCTTGAAGTCTGTGATGTCGAGACTTATCTCTTTTATCGCTATCGGAGTGACGATCACGTTTGTGAACGGGTTTTGAATGATTCTCATCTGGTTTTTGGGATTCCAAGTCCTCCCGGAGGCGCTCCATCTTGTTTCTCAGGTAAGCATTAAGGTCGCCGTGTTGAGGACGTTCAGAGCGCCTTAGTGGACTTCGAGAACGACCACGTTCCCGTTCTTTTCGAATCCGCGGGTAGTGACCGCGATGACTGCTCCCACATCGCTCTTCCCTGCTCAGAATTCGATAATTCTCAGTTCTTCTGCTAAAAAAGTACAATCACAAGAATCGCGAAACGACAGCATCTATTAATCTACTGAATATGCAAAAACAGATATTATCAACTAGTCCAAAATGTCTGCAGACCTTACCCAAGTGTCAACTTGATCTTAAAAATACTGGCTAAGTACTACACCTCCTCTCACAGGAAAAACGAAAATTTACGCGTAAATGGCCTAAAGATAATTATTTCGTAGTTCACGAAAAATTGTGCAGATAAGCTACTGGCAACAGTGCAACAGTATTGCGGACACCACACAGTGTTAAAGCCCAGTTCATGAGCCCTCAAAGCAAGCTGTAATGAAAGCCAGGCTGGGATACCGTAAATGATATACTCCCAAACAACCTCCTTACAAATCTTAAACAAATTTTGCTATGGAAGACTAGACTCACCTCATACTTAAACGCAAAGCCACTTTAAATGCTCTAACTTGCTAAAACAAATCATAGCATCATCAACACTATCAAAAAGCTCAATTTTAATGTGCTTTATGCTAATATAACATTTTTAGCGTTGAGTAACAGCGAAACATTTTTAGTGGAAGTGCTCTAGTTACACAATAGTTTATCATTAAGCGCCTTGTTATCAACCTATCCTTATTCCAAATTATTCCTGTGTGCACTATTACCCATCTTTTATTCCATTATGTTATCTGTCTTTGCGGTGTCTTTGGAAAAGTTTACAGTCTACGCTCGTAGTCGCTTAAGCCCTCTCACCAGATTGATGTGACCACTAATTTGGATTCAATATATGCAGCCTAGGATGGAAAGAAGTAATTGGATAACAATTTTACAAAGTCTCACATCTTTCCTTCTTTCAGAACTCGATCGCAAGTATTATCATTTTTCGGGCACATATGCGGAGTTGTCTACTGTAGTTTACTGATACCCCGAACGTCTTTAACCGCCGCACTCGACACCTTCGAATGTAAGCTTGCGACACTTCCAATTAAGTGGAACAAGGCATTAAGCGAGTTTAAATGCTCGTATTTAAGAGGAAGTGAGTAGGCCGAACTCCAGCAAAATGAATACTAAGTTGACCGCCAGGCATATAGGCGGCCGAATGAGCAAGGTTTGCATCACCCGCCTCCCTCCTCTCATTTGAGCGACGCTCCCGATGCTCTTGCCGATACAGACCCTGCGACAGTCATTACAACTTTCTTAGTGCTTCACCACAAGCCTGACGAGCTTTTAATCGGCTCCCATGGGACAGAGGAAATGTTCGTTGTTCTTCCAGCACTTTCGACTGGATCTGGAGTTACGTTTGGCCTAAAAGCAGGGCCAGGGCAGGACATTGGAACACTGGCTCAGAACAGATTCTTAACATGAATAAGGGGGTTGAAAATAACAATTTGTCATCGCTGACATCCATACGCAGGCATGATAAAGGGAACTCCGTACTGAAACTTTCTCACACGGTTCACGGCGACGTTGCTTTAGTTTTAAATAACTTACATGTTACAATGAATACCAAACATAAATATTGTTCTCAACCCTTCTGTTGTTAATAAATTAGAGACTCTCTTACCTGAAGCATATGAATCTCATTCGCACTGCATACTTTGGTTACCAACGGTGGGAACCTGGATTGAAATCATGATAGAGTCAAGATTGTTTTCTGATACCACTAGTGTAAAGCCGAAAGACTTCCCAGTCGGTAGTAAAAGGCATTAGATAGGACTGAGTATCTGTATCTAGGATGAACGGGAAGAAATTGGGCCTTGGCTTGACTCGGAGTCAGGTCGAAGCAGCCTGGAGAAAGGCGAATGCCAAAATGACTGTAAGCCACATAGTAGAATAAGAAAAGTACCACGGTGAAAGATTCGTCGCTATACTTCCAGTCTCAAAGTGTCCGCCATCTAACCAAGTATATTGAGTTTGTAATGTACCCATGAAATGGTTATCGAACTGAACTTCGAAATTTCCTTCTCACCAAAGGTCACGAACTGAGTACAATGCATAAAATCGTATATATGGAATCTATCCATGTAGGAAACAGAAAAGAGAAATAAGGAAACGAAGCACCAAAGTCCTTAAAGACAGACTCGAGGTGGACAAATAGTAGATTTGAAGAGAAATGAAAGGGGAGTTGGGAAAGGGTTACAACACGGGGTCTTGCCGATTAACCACAGAAACCGATGCAAACTGACAGTCGTAAGGACCCAATGAGTGACCAAATTCGGTGACCCCGACTGCTATTTGTTATAAGAGAATTCGCGTTTTTTATTCTCCCTGCATTCTCCCTACCGCTGCTCAAACTTTTACATGCCATGAATCAAACCCTTTCTGGCTCATAGTAGGATAGTCACTAAAGGCAATGGGATACACCACGTGGAAGAGACTGACGTCGGCGCCGTTTCTGATGATGGATGTACATTAAGGACTCCAGCCCCATAAATTACTGGGTAGATTTTCATCGCTTCTGTACACACCAAACCCCACCCTTCCTTATACCCTCCCTAAAAGAACTCCCTTGTGCCTGCAAGACCCATTAAGAAGCTTCCAAATCCTGCCCGTTACATAGGGTGGCTGAGTGGAATTGCTGGAATCGAGCTGATAAGGATAGGGGGGTGAATGCAGAGAGACGGGACGTTTTAGGCCATGAGGCGTCGATGACGATGACGCTGTGAGCGCTAAGTGCTACAGTAAACACCGAGCTAAAAAGGAAGCAAAGCAACGAAATCCCATTTGGAAGTTAAGGATGAAAGTAGAGACAAAATAAAGGCGATATGAAAGTAAACCTGTTGTCCTCCCCTTTCTTTGACCATTTTGACACTTGCACAATCAGAATAACGCTAAGTTACAAGATTTATTAATTTCAAGAAGCACTTACTAACTATTAAATCCATAATACCAGAGCAGAATCAATGTTGCAGGCACCTGTTAAAAGAGAATCCATGTCGTTCTCCGGAAGATGCACTGCCCAATGTAACTTGATGAAATATGGTAATGCTGATCTTACACTCTATGTCTAAGCTCTGTGTTTGCGAGAGGCAGAGCTTGACCTTCACCACCCAAACCACTTATGGCGGTTAAAAGTAGCCAAAGAGGATACAAGACAATAAACTGTTAAAATACGCTTGTATTTGACATACATAGGGAACGAGACTATTGACAACGGGGTGCTCAAAGTGTACAGCCAAGAAAAAAACGACCATCAAGCCGGCTTCAAATGGTCTAAAGGTAAATAAACAAACTTACTCCTCTGCTGGACATGATCGAAATCCCGCGATAGCAACCATAAAGCGACAAACGAGGCAATAAAGTACTTACGACCCGACCATGTCACCGACCAAAATTTTATGAAAATGCGGGGGCACATGATATCCACTCTCCTTATAATCCGATGCAGGAGTTAAATTTAAGGACGAGCAACTATGCCGACCGTCACGAGTTTCAACAGACGGTCGACGAAGCGCTGACATAAACCCGATTTGATGTGAATTTTTCCGCAAAATTAGGACAGGAACAACCCAAACATGCCAATGAGCTCATACCAGTTAGCAGAAAAGTAAATGAAAATTTTCACATTGAGATGTTGGCAGTGTCATGGAGATAAGAATACTCCTCGCCGAAAGCTTCCCACATTCCTAACATCTAGCAATACTCTACAGTTTTGTGTCTCAGGAAATGTTCAAACCCCTTTAATCTAGGATCATGATTACATCTTCCGCAAGTAGCAATATGAACTCCCTCCTCCATGTTGGGCAAATAACGCGAGATCGGAAAAATTGATGTGCCATTAAAAGCAGATTCACCTCCCACTGTTACTACTGTAGCATCATGACCTCAGATAAAGAAGAAGGCAATAGCTTAGCTGAATGCACGTCGCCAGCCTGACAGAAGGGGATGGTGTGGACCTAGCCTTGCTCAAGTAAGTTTCAAGAACTAGTCGACAAAATATTTGCGCATCAAAAATGAAAAGCAAACAAAAAGCGTCTACCATACATTTGCATTCCCCCGTCTTCAAAATGTACAAGACCCAAAACCACCATCGACCTCTCATTCAGCTTATTCATTCCATTGTACCTCCCGCCCTTTTAGCAATGTATATTATCAATTAGGGTTCTTTGGATAATTGGCAACAAAATTCTATTTGTTAGGAATACAAAGCCTTACAATAATTTATTGAATTCTGTAAAACCAGTTAATTTTAAGATTCTACTGTGTTATATTTTTTAGCAAAAGACGTGAACGATAGCACTTAGTAACTTAGTTAACCCAGTTTATCCGAACATCTAAGACTTGAAATTGCAATGCGCTTTGACGATTTGCGAAAATGCGCTGCAAAATTTTGGCTTAGATAATAAGAAAGTGATCGCAGGGAATGCTATCAGAATTCAAGAGTTGAGGCCTCTCGTTTCTTGATTAATAGACTAATTTCATGGTGTTTATTGCAATCTCGGTCCTGGTGAGTCAGATGACCCTCGGACCATGCCAACACCCACCTCTACACATTTTATACGAAAAAAAAAATTTTACCACGTTTCGGTCCTTGTATTACCAAATAGGAAGTGTCCCGACGTTATTGTAATACGTTGATTATGTGATTACCTGATGTTTGGCGGCCACTTTAAGATTTGCTTGGTCCTTGTATGCGTGAGCTGGTCTTCGGTCAAATGACTTTGTTCTCCTTAATATGCATCTATTCAACTCCACCTACTACTGCAATGTCTCTAGACCTCTCACCGAGTAGATAAAGCGGTAAGTGGAGCTTTATACATGTGTTTCAGGGAGATAAAAGACACTAAGCCTCGGTTTAACCTAAAGGCAACCCACGCGCACAAGGACCAGACAGTCCTTAAGGTAGCCGCCAGACATCAAGCGTTCACACAACAAAGTACAACAACAGCAAATTTTGTTAAGCGTGAAGTTTTTTCGAAATCCTTGTTTCTTTTCCTATCAATAATTATAGATATTACTATTGTGGTCTTGGTCAGGCCTTCTCCCATCTATGACCAACGGATATGCTCTTTCCTGGAATAGCTTTATTGAGCTTTACCAAAAGCTTACACTGACCAAAAAGGTGCATAAAATGTCGTGCTCAGCAATTAGGGGAAACAAACACGCTGTTGAAATAGATTTCCGGCTCTACCTGTACGAGCCGTTTAAACACATTATTCGTGTAACATGAAGTCTAACCTCCATAAATAATCTTTTAGAATGCCAAAAAATTTTACGTTGTTTTTGGCAACAAATGTCAAGTGGGATTCAATTTGTTAAATGATGACTTTTGCTCCGAAAAATCGACCGAAATATGGCCACAACTTACTTATTACAGCAACACCCTCCACTTTAGCAATCAAATGTACATAAACTGAATGGCTTTTATAATTGAATCACTAAGTTATGGTTTGGGTGGGTACAATCGTGCATAATATTTTTATTAATCACATTC